CAATATTAAACCTTTCGACTTTACCAATTGAGTCTTAAACATTTTCACTCATTACCAATTAAGTCCATCCGGCCAATTTTAGCAAGAAATATCTAACGTGGACGCCGATTGGCCACTTGGCACTGATGTGGACATTTTAAAATAAAATATTTTAATAATTTTATCAAATTTTTTTATGGTTTTTCTTTATTTTTTCCTTTTCTCCCTTTTTTTTTGAGTTAGGGTCAGCGAGGGCCACGCCCTCGTCGGATCTAGCTAGGGGAGGGCTTGGCGGCAGGGGTGAGGGCGTCCCGGACCTTGCTTGTGGCCGGTGAGGGTCGGTCGGCCACCTTCACCGGCCCCAACTCCAAGATAAAAAAAAATAGAGAAAAGGAAAAAAAACACCATAAAAATTATTAAAATTATTAAAATATTATTTAAAAATGTCTACGTTAGCGATTTCAGCCAAAATTGGCTGGATGGACTCAATTGGCAAGAAGTGAAAAGATTTAGGTATTAATTGGCAAAGTTGAAAGGTTTATGATTGAATTGGCATAAATGCAATAGGTTCAAGACTTTTTGAATAATTTTCCCAACGAAAAGAAGGGAAGGGAAAAGAAGGAAATCGAACACTACATGCATGCTCTGAACGTCACGACAAGCCAAATTAACTTTGTTTAGTAGCGCCTAGCAAGGATTCAAACCCTTCATTTATTTAATCGAAGGAGTTTTCGTAGTTAAGTAGTAATTTCGGATTAATTTGAATTCTGAGTTGTTGGGTTCATTCTAATACTTCTTAAGCTGTTAATTTATGTTGCGAAGAAACTTTAGGGTGTTGGGAGCCGCGAGATTTTACAGAAGTCGATTTGGAGTTACGGCTAGGGCCCAAGAAATTGCGGCTCACCAGAAGAAAATGGCTAGGGCTCAAGAAATTGAGAAAGACAAGCTAAGAATTGCTGGTTTATGCTTTCCGTGCTCACCTACAAATACGACATTAATGTTCTTGATATCTACGTGACGGGTTTGAGTAATCTGAGCTTCAATTTTCCTTGTAGGAGTCGAACCATGGTCTTCAAATTCGACACCATCAATCTCACTGAAGATCCTCCCAATTTTAACTAGGACTCCCGTGTGCTTCTCCATCATTGACGATTTGCCTGCCATATATTCCTGGTTACAGTTTCAAGAAACCTGTAACATCCCACCAGGCCGCTGCCAGGGCCTCGCTGTGCCTAACAATTCAGGCTTCCAAACTGGCTGTTCATGTTGTAGGCCAAGTGAATCTCTCCAGTTTCCTGGTTTTGATCTAGAGCTTTGCCAAGGACGCCTTAAAAGGTTCGCTTTCCGTGAGCCACAGGCAGCTATGAACCACTTCAGCGACGAAAAGATTGTGGGCAGGGGCAGGTTTGGTCGAGTATATGAAGGACTCTAGGCAGACGGGTCTAAAGTGGCCGTAAAAAAGATCGCCAAGTGTTCCCATTTGGAAATGAGAGGGTTCCATGTAATAGTGAAATTGGGAAACATGCCCTCGCATTGGAACCTGGTCCCGGTTTTCAGCTTTTGCTCGTTGTCGGAACTGAAAGAGTACATGCTCGTGTATTCCTTCATGCTTAATAGAAGCTTGTCCTTGTTTCTAAGAGTGGACGGCCGTCTGTGAAGCTCCCACTTGATTGGCCCACCAGCAAGAAGATAGCTGTTGAAGCTGCGAGAAGGATTTCCCATTTGCATGAGAACGGTGTAATCCATTGGGACATCAAGCCCCATAAGATATTGCTGGGCAAGAACTTTGAGGCTCATATTGGCAATTTCAGGATGGTCATGTTCATTGACACGGATGAAGAGAAGGGTGTGTCCAAGGAAACCAGCTTCTTTAGCCTCAGCTTTCTTAGCACCCAAATAGGCGGGACGGAGGGTTGTCTTGATCCACAGTGCTCCAAGAGTGGAATGAGCTTGGTGAACAGTAATGTCTATAGTTTCGGCGCGACCCTTCTTGAGCTCTTTAGGGGTTGAAGTGCTCAAAGATAGATCAGTCCTCGGGTGCTGCTGCTACCTGAATGGGCAGGCGTGCTTTTCAAAGAAAAAGACTTGAAAGGCTAGTCGATGACGACATACGGAGCGGGCGCAAGGAAAGCAAAATCGAGAAAACGATCCAGCTAGCTCTACTTTGCATGCAACTCACCCGGAAAAAAGACCTAGTATGTTGGTAGTAATCCAAATTCTTGAAGGGGATATTAACTTGGAGCAGAGATGGGAGCAGTACCAAAACGATGTTATTCCGCCCAAAATTTGATATGTCCATGGCGGATTTTGGTTCTTGTCTCTGTCACGATGACTCATCACTAACGCATCCCCGATAATCTTTCTGTGGAGTTGTTGCTCAGCTGAAAAATCGAAGACGGCGGTCTCCTGATTCTGAGAATTACATGACTTCTATCGTAACCTGGATGTTGATCGTGCTGCTTTTATGCTTTTCTACTTTGTTTGCACAAAAAATTAACCAAGTCATGAGAATAGGCCTGAGCAAGCACGTGACCTGAGGTCGAGTGGCTATCAACACTGGACACGCATATTATTGCTAATGAACATAAGAGCCTTCATGAATATTGATATACATCAATGGTCATGGACCAATGTGGATACACGATAGCACTGGTTGACGATTATCATAACATAATTGGTCGGTAAGTGTTGAATTTATGTCTCGAGTTAGAATCCGAGTAATAAAGCCACTTTCCTATTTGGCTGATTTCGGATAAGGGGTTCACGGCAACGCGAATAGAGAAGGTCACTAAAAGACAAAATATGGGTACACTTTATTTTATTGTATCTATTTCGGTGGGCCCAGGTCAATTTGTTGACTCCTTACCAGCGAAGGACTTCCCTTCTTGGACGTACAAAAGAAACGTGTGGGGCCACGGAAGTCAGATAAGAGAGAAGCAAAACGAGGGTTTTTACCGCGTATAAAAAGAAAAGAAATTGAGGGTTTCTTTCCTTTAGCGAAGACCAAAGCCGCACAAAGCAAGACATACGGAGACGCTCGTATTCAAGCCGCACGAAGGAGGCAGAACGTATAGAGACGTTCTTCAACGTGCGCGTGTTTGGCTTTGGGCTTGAATATGCGATGATTTGTGCAGTGGATTTATTTCGTTCAATTAAGTTGTTTATTCGTAAATACTTTGGATTTGGACTTAAATTTAGGTGTAGAAACACTCAAGCGTATCAGCAAATTGTAATTCTAATTCTCCGATTATAGTGGATTATTTGTTGCTGGCTCTCCTTATGGATGTAGGTACCGATATTCGGATCGAACCACGTAAATCTCTGGTGTCCTTTATCGTTTCTCGTTTATTTCTCTGATATTTTCGCATTGACTTAATTTGCAAAATCCTGTCATTTCCACGTTATATTCCAACAATAAGGGTACCGATTCAAAGGGATCGACAGATAGCCAATTGAGAAATCAAATGAAGATTGAATGTCTAGAGGACGCTAAACTCACTTGTGGTATTCAAATTTTTTGAAATCGCTTGTGCCCACTGTGGAGAAAGAACTTGAATGAAATTCAAAGTGGCTGCAAACAGGTGCAAATGATCAAGGCTTGGTTTTGAGAGAACAACCACCTGGAGATAAGATCATGGCAACGTGAGAACATGGAACCAAGATTCTTGAGATATGGAAGCATGGCTGAAACTGCTGAAAATCTACTTATAGGCAGCAATGTTGTGAACGCTATAAATACTAGTGTTTGTCTACTGAAGACCCCCAACACAAACGTACAAACAACTTGTTATCTTTCAATTTTTGCATTGTAGTTATGCTTGTAGTTCCAAGATATTTCGTCGCCGATTAAATTCCATTGTAGTTTTCAAATCTTTGCCGTCGATTAAATTCTGGTGTTGCATGTGTTTTTCAAGCCTTTATCGTCAATTAAATTCCGGCAAAGTTTGTGTACTTTCTATTCCGTTTGAAGTGAAATGATCAGTTTCCTTGTATACTTATGATATTTCGTCACCACAGAACCTATCTCATCTCATAAAAAATCAAAGAACTGACTATTGGTGAAAGGTATTTCATCTCGGACGCAATTTCCGGCAAAACACACTTATGTTCATTTGGCGATTCTTTGGTTGGTATACAGTGAGACACTTCGTCCATTTTCTTTGGCTAACACGCATCCCATGATTCGCCTGCTCCGACAAAATGTTCTATGATTCACGAATCTCCAAGATGTTGTAGTTCAACACCAGTCTCCAGAAGCAGCCCGTTAGGCTAGATTGATCTGAGGTAAAATAAATAGATTATATTCAAAGGGAAAATCGATGAGATAAGCTAGGATTCATGAACTAAATGCAAAAGTTCCCATGGTAATTCAGAATGACAATAGCTTTCATTAGAAATGCTGGTAGAGCAAGGTTTCCTCGTATGAAGTAACATAATTAGCCAAATTGATTCTTTCCCTGATTTGTAAGGCCTTGTGGAGCAATTTTCTGGGTTTATACTGAATAATATGTCTGTACTGGCTAGATGAATTGATCAGAATCAGTGCAAGAGAGACTTGATAATGAAATTTATGCGAGGTCAACGACTTGATTCGACAAGTCCAAGGAGCAAGGATTTGATTATGAAAAGAGCGCAACTTCAGGGACTAAAAGTAAAATTTTTACCTACCATTTTCAAGATGGAAGTCATACTGGTTTGGAACAAAGGAATGTGATTCATCACACCTCTTCTCCGGTTCTTCTTCTACCAGATGAAGGTTATTAATACCTTTACTAGACCGGGCTTATAATTCACCTTAGTAGCAGCTGGTGTCGGTGTCAGCCGAGGAAACTGGATGAATTGCATTCAGACACAGCATAGAAAATCTAAATGTTGGACTGATTCTCCCAAGAAAGCTCGACTTATCAGGAGGGTGAAGAGCTTAGGGGAGTAGCGAAAGCGACCAAAACGACTATGATACCCCACAAAACGCGTTGAAATCCACTAGGCTTTTTTTCACTGGCTTTGATAAGTATAGATGCGTGCACATCTGCAGGCATGACAGAACCAAAATTGAGAAGTCTGAATATCCAGACTCAGCTCAGGCTCACCTCTGCAGCAAAAACTCTTCTTCCTTGCTCCTCCTGTTCCCTTTCGTGAAAAGACAAATTCGAACAATCCGAACGTAATTTCCGAGGAGTGTGGTGTTTCGTAAGAGTGAACAACCATGGTCTTCAAGTTTTCAACCTTCGATCTCACCAAAGATCCTCCTGATTTCGATCCGCCTTCGCCGCCTGCTTCTCGGTCATCAACGATTTGTCTGCCGCTTAATCCTGCTAGCCGCAGTTTCATCAAAGGTACGACATCCCGCCAGGTAGCTGCCGGTGCTTCTCTGCGCTTGGCCAATTCAGCTTCCAAGTTTGGTTGCTGGAGGCCAAGCGAATCACTCCAATGTCCAGAGGCAGGACGCCTTAAAAGGTTCACTTTCCGCGAGCTGAAGGTCGCTACCAACAAGTTCAGTGAGACAAATAAGCTGGGTGAGGGTGGGTACGGTTGTGTGTACTATGGAGTCTTGGTGGACGGCTCCAGAGTGGCGATAAAAAGACTCACTAGACATACCTCTCAAAGATTGACACTGCGTGCTGAAGTAAAATTGGGGAACAAGATATGGCATCGGAATCTGCTTCCGGTTCACGGCTTGTGTTCATCATCGAAACATGGAGACATGCTCGTGTACCCTTTCATGGTGAACGTAAGCCTAGGCATCAATTTAAGAGGACAGTCAACAGAGAAGCGCCCACTTGATTGGCCCATCAGGAAGAAGATAGCAATTGGAGCTGCGAGAGGGATTGCCCATTTGCATGATCTGAGGATAATTCACAGGGACATTAAACCCGACAATATACTGCTGGATGCGGATTTTGAGGCTCGTGTTGCAGATTTTGGGTTGGCCTTGTTCATGGACGATTACAAAGAGAAGGCTGTTTCCGAAGGAGAACCCAATGGTGAAGACGCTTATTTTACCGACTGCACAGCGGGAACACTTGGTTACATGGATCCAGAGCGCATTACCGGAAGATACTCAGTAAAGAGCGATGTTTATGGTTTCGGCGTGACACTTCTTGAACTCGTGAGTGGTCGAAGAGCTTGGAGAACAACCTGCCTCGATGGAAAGGAACTGGGGCTGCTTCGATGGGCACAAGCCCTTTTGAAAAACGAACAGTTGGAAAGGCTAGTCGATACCAATATGCTGGGCGGCTATAACGAGAGTGAAGTGGAGAAAACCATTCGCCTGGCTCTACTTTGCACGCAACTGGACCCCAAAAAACGACCTTATATGGCTGAAGCAGTCCTATTTCTTGAAGGAATTATTGGCTTGGAGAAAAGATGGGAGGAGTATCAACTTGAAGACGAATTATCTGGCCTAGATGATCTTTCAATTTTGAACGACTCTACTTCTTGTCCAAGTGAAGACAAATCATCTGGTCCTAGATGATCCTTCCTAGAACGTGTCGCTTGAGATTCGCCCTCGAGATTGCGGCTGCCTCAGCTTCAGCACTATACCGGATACCGTTGAATTTTTTTCGCTTAGTTCGAGTGTATTTACTCATTTCATTTTATTTAATTGACAATGTTCTTATTATGTTTTACCTTAAATCTGATTTCATTTTATTTTTATCAAAGCCTACCAGAACTTGAGAGGGCAAGTAGAATCAAATTATTGTGCTGTGCCGTCGGCCAACATTCCACACAGTGCTGTTTTATGCGCCACGATTTATTTACGCACAATTTGATCAGATTAGATTAAATCAGTTAAGTAAAATTACCTGTTGGGTCGAACACAAAAATTGAGGAGCAATTTTTGCTGGGTTTGTAAATACTAAGATGACAATTTCTAGGATGGGACATAAGCATTATCCGGACACGGCACGAAGTTAGCGGGTATGGATTTGTGCTAATCGGGCTTGTATGGTAATCGTGTAGACCCACTTGACATGATTGATAAGTAAATTGTGTTCACGTTCATCTCGTGTCACTGTTACTTTGACACGAAACGAACATCACCCCACGAAGCGATATATCTAATTAGTATTGAGCCTGATGAATGTATTGGTGTTTGCAGATGAAGTCGTGGGTGCAATCCTAATGAAACATTCTATGAAAGTGGATTCTTCCGCGAAGGGTGGCGTCCTGATCCGCCAAATCCATTTCGCAGGCGTTTCATTCATAAACAGAAGACTTAGGCAAAAAGATCGCAGAGTGTGTGCTGAGCATTTGAGTGGTGCGGGTATGGTCGTGTAAGTCTCAACGCATGGGAACAAAATGCTTTTGCCCAAGGAAAAAGGAAAAGAAACCGCGTGATATGAGCAAATCATTTTCGACTTGGGTCAAACATATTGATTCTTTGATGTCATTCCTGGGAAGTCTTCTTCAGAAATGCGGCCCACCAGAAGAAAATGTGCAGGGCCCGAGAAAGACAGGTTAAGAATTGCTAATTTAAGCTTTACGTGCTAACCTACAAAAACAATATTAAAGTTCTCGTTATCTACGTGACGCATTTGAGTGATCTGAGTTTCAATTTTCCTTCTAGGAGTCTAGAAGCGGAACCATGGTCTTCATATTTGCCACGGTCGATCTCACTGAAGATCCTCCCAATGTTGATTCGGACTCTCTGCCTGCTTCTCGATCATCAGCGGTTTGCTTGCCATACACTCCCAGCTGCAGTTTCAAGAAACCGATAACATCCTGCCAGGCCGTTACCGGGGCTTTGCTGCGCCAGACAATTCAGTCTTCCGAATCTGGTTTTTTCATGTTGTAGGCCAAGTGAATCTCTCTTGTTTCCAGGTTCTGATCTGGAGGTTTGCCAGGGACGCCTTAAAAGGAAGGTTCGCTTTCCCTGAGCTACAGGCAACTACCAACCACTTCAGCGATGAAAGATTGTGGCTAGGGGTGGGTTTGGTCGTGTATATGGAGGACTCGGCAGACGGCTCTCGAGTGGCCCATAAAAAGAATCGCCAAGCATTTGCATTTTGAGATGAGAGAGTTCCACACAGAAGTGAAATTGGGTAACATGCCCGTGCATCGGAACCTGGTCCCAGTTATCAGCTTTTGCTTGCCGCCGAAACTGGAAGAAGACATGCTCATGTGTTCCTTCATGCTTAATGGAAGCTTCTCCTTATTTCTAAGACGACAACCGTCCGTGAAACTCCCGCTTGATTGGCCCACCAGGAAGAAGATAGCTGTCGGAGCTGTGAGAGGGATTTCCCATCTGCATGATCATGGCATAATTCATCGGTACATTAAGCCCCAGAACATCCTGCTGGGGGAGAACTTTGAGGTTTGTATTGTCGATTTTGGGATGGCCATCTTCATGGACAACGATGAAGAGAAGGGTGTTTCCAGGTAAACCAGCTTCTTTAGCCTCAGCTTTCTTCACAGGCAAATAGGCAGGACGTGCAGTTATCTTGATCTGGAGTACTCCGAGAGTGGAATGTGCTCGGTGAAGAGCGATGTCCATAGTTCTGGCGTGACCCTTCTCGAACTCGCCATCGGTTGAAGTGCTCAAAGAAGGATTAGTCCTCCGGGGCTGCTGCTACCTGAATGGGCAGGCATGCTTGTCGAAGATAAAGAGATGGAAAGGCTAGTCGATGCTGACATACGGAATGGGTATAGGGAAAGCGAAGTCAAGAGAATGATCCAGCTAGCTCTAGTTTGTGTGCAAATCGACCCCAAAAGACGACCAGATATGACGGAAGTAGTCCAAATTCTGGAAGGGGCTATTAGCTTAGAGAAGAGAGGGAGAAGTACCAAAATGGACATGGCGGACTCTGGTTCTTGTCTCCGCCACGAAGACTTATCAATAACACATCCTAGATAATCGTTCCCTGGAGTTGTTGCTCAGCTGAAAAATTGGCGATGAGAGTGTCCTGATTCCAAGAGTTACGTGACTTCTGGTGTAACCTGGATGATGATTGTGCTGCTTTTATGCTTATTTGCTTATGTTCATTTGTTGACTCTTAGGTTGTTATATAGTGAGACTTCATCCAACACCCACTCCGTTAATTCGCCGGCTGCAAAAACATGTTCAATCATTCATGAATCTCCAAGATGTAGTTCCACTATTGTTTCTAAAAGGCATCCTGTTAGGCTAGATTGAGCTGAAGTAAAAAATAAATAAGAAAATAACGTTTGAAGGGAAAATCGATGAGATAAGCCAGGATTCATGGACTAAATGCAAAAGTTCCCATGGTAATTCAGAACGACTATAGCTTTCATTAGAGATGCAGGTGGGTGTAGGTTTCCTCATATCAAGGTTATAATTAGTTCCATTTGATTCCTTCCTTGATTTGGAAGGGCTTAAGGGGAAATTTTCTGGGTGTATACAGAATAATATGTCTGTACAGAACCGGTGCAAGGGAGACTTGATAAGGAAATCTATGCAAGTTCAATTACTCAGTTTAGACAAGTCAAACGTACAAGGACTTGATTGGAAAAAGAGCATAACTTCAGGGACTAAAAGCAAAATTTTTACCTTTCGTTTTCGAGATGCATGTCCTTGGTCGGTATTTCTCATGGAACAAAGGACTGTTTTTCATTACACGACAAGATGGAGGTTAGTAGTACCTTTGTTGCCCGGGCTTATAATTCACCTTAATAAGGGCTGGTGTCGGTGTCAGCCTAACAGAACTGGCTGAACTGCATTCAGAAGCAGCATAGAAATTCTAAATGTTGGACTAATTTTTCCAACAAAGATCAACGTACCAAGACGGGAGAAGCGAAAGCGACAAGGGTGACTGACTCGTAGGAGTCATTGCTTGGTGGGACATAACATGCATTATCAACATTGACGATACGATACTCCACAGCGATTGTAATGGGTTGGTAAGTATGAACAACCAAACTAGTTAAGTCTGAATAAGCAGACTCAGCTCAGGCTCACCTCTGCAGCAGAAAACTCTCCTTCCTTCCTTCTTCGGTTCCCGTTCACGAAAAAAGAAAAATTTTGAGTAATCCGAGCTTGGATTCCGAGGAGTGTGGTGTTTTAGAAGAGCTAAAAACTATGGTCCTCAAGTTTTCAACCTTCGACCTCACCGAAGATCCCCCTAATTTCGATCTGCATTCACCACCTGCTTCTCGGTCGTCAACAATTTGTCTGCCGCTTAATCCTGCTGGCTGCAGTTTCATCAAAGCTATTGTTGCGAAATTCAAATCGGCATTAGTATATATATTACAAACAATACAGAATTGTAAAGAAACGAAATTGCAATAACAAAGTTGGAATCGATACAAATGAATACCGAGGCCTGTATTTGACACAATTTCCTTAAAACAGATTCGTTCCCTCCAGCACGGTTGACGGCTAAGAAGTAATCAGCACTTCAAAGCTTCTGACGAACAAATTGTGGAACTGAAAAACAGAGGAAGAATGATTTTGATAAATAGAACAGAGGGGAGAGCATTTCGGGAATTGTAACGACAGATTTATCAATACGCATCGGGAATAACGGCCGATTAAATTAATCGGAAGGCAAAATTAGGCTTGTCGCGAGGCCCACTTTTCGGTCTTGCAATCGTGTACACGAGATGTGTGCTCGCGCCCAAGTTTTAGCTTGTTGGGCGTCGGATTTGCACCCCTGCGCCTGTGCGCGAGGCATAGTGTTTGTCTTTATGATAGTTACCACTTCAAATGAAATAGAATCGTATATAAAGACTCCATACCTTCTTTCTTTTCCAATGCTGACCAGTGATTTTTCCACTTCCCACTTCCAACTCAAGGGTGTTTTTTGAGCATCAATTTCTCATTCATTCACCCATCAATTTATCCCATATTTCCAACAGCTATTACACCTCGCCAGGTCGCTGCCAGTGCTTCTCTGTGCTTGGTCAATTCAGCTTCCACGTTTGGTTGTTGGAGGCCAAGAGAATTGGTCCAATGTCCAGTGGAAGGACGCCTTCAAAGGTTTCGATTTCGACGAGCTGAAGGTCGCTACCAACAACTTCAGTGAGACAAAGAAGGTGGGCGAGGGTGGGTACGGTTGTATGTACGAAGGACTCTTGGGGGACGGCTCCAGTGTGGCAATAAAAAGACTCAGTAGAGGTACCTCTCAGGCATGGACACTCCATGCTGAAGTAAAATTGGGGAACATGATCTGTCATCGGAATCTGGTTCGGGTTTGAAGGCTTTTGTTTGTCGTCAAAGCATGGAGAATACATGCTTGTGTACAATTTCATGGCGAACGGAAGTCTGGACTCACTTTTAAGAGGACAGCTCCCACTTGATTGGCCCATCAGGAATAAGATAGCGATTGGAGCTGCTAGAGGGCTCTCCCATTTGCATGATCTGAGGATGATTCACAGGGACATTAAACCCGATAATATACTGTTGGATGAGGACTTTGAGGCTCATGTTGCATATTGTGGGATGGCCTTGTTCATGGACGAGTACATAGGGAAGGCTGTTTCCAAAGGAGAACCCAATGGTGAAGACGCTAATTTTACCGACTGCCCAATGGGAACGCTTTATTACATCGATCCAGAGCGCTTTACAGGAAGAAACTCAGTAAAGAGCGATGTTTATGGGTTCGGCGTGACGCTTCTTGAACTCATAAGCAGTCGAAGAGCTTGGGAAACAACCTGCCTCGATGAAAATGAACTGGGGTTGTGTGCATGGGCACATGCCCTTTCAGAAAACGAACAGTGGGGAAGGCTAGTCCATACCAATATGCCGGGCGGCTATAACGTGAGTGAAGTCAAGAGAACCGTTCACCTGGCTCTACTTTGCACGCAGCTTGACCCCAAAAAACGACCTTATATGGCTGAAGCAGTCCTATTTCTTGAAGGAATTATTGGCTTGGAGAAAAGATGGGAGGAGTATCAAACTAATGCCACGACGCCATTTGGAAACCTCAACTTGGATTCGAGATCGAGCGACTTTATGTTAGTGAAGATGAAACAAACCAGCCTTCACAAGAACTTTGATTTCGCAGAGAGAGATGGAATAGAAGACTAGAAAATATTAACATAGAACAAAAACTGTCAAGAACAAGCTTAATAGGAACCTGTTTTTTAACTGCACACAGACGTGCAAAAAACTGACTTAAAAAAAACAACTGACTTGTTCCACTTCCTAGAAAATAGCTAACAAAGTAACTGTCTAACAAATCAAACTTGACGGAAAAACAGAAAAGACTAAAACAACAGGAAAAACAACAGCAGCACTGGGACAGCTCCAACAAACTCCTCCTTGGATCAGTTGCTGCTGCAAACTCCAATTTTCTCCCTTAACAGCTCAAATCTTTCAACTTGAAGTGGCTTTGTGAACATGTCTGCAAGCTGATCTTCTGATCTACAATAAACCAACTTAACTTCACCACTTTGTTGCACTTCACGCAGAAAGAAGAATTTGATCTTAAAATGCTTGGTTTTGCCATGGAAAACTGGATTCTCGTGATATTGCTAAAGCAAACTATGATTGTCCACATAAACTTCAATGCAATCACAAGAACTCAACCACGATCCTTCATTATCTTCTTCACCACAAAACTTGATTTGCAATGCAGAGGTCGCTATAAACTCAGCCTCTGCGAGTGGATCGAGCTACAATCTCCTCTTTTGGAACACCAGGGAGAAACAAGCGAACCAAGAGTGAAGCAAGACCCGGATGTACTCTTCATGTCATCTACCGAGCCAAATTTCAAATACTATCGTAAAACCCTGCAACTTAAACTTCGGCCTTTCCTAAACTTCACACCAAAGAACAATGTTCCTTTGATGTATCTCAAGACCCTTTTTGCAGCGACCAAATGTAACTGACTAGGACTACTCATGAACCTGGATAAAACACTCACAGCAAATAAAATATCTGGTCTAGTTGCTGTGAGATACATGAGACATCCAATTAAGCTTCTATACATTGAAGCATCTACCGCTTCTGTTCCATCATTCTTTTGTAGCTTCTCCTTAGCAGTCATAGGAGTGCTGACACTTCTACAATCTTCCATCTGAAACTTCTTCAAAATTTCCTTCATGTATTTCTTTTGGCAGATGAAAATCTCATGTGAAGTTTGTTTGATTTCCAGACCTAGGAAATAAGCCATCTTTCCCAAGTCTGACATCTCAAAAGCTGCAAATAGACCTTGCTTCACCCTCTCTATCAGTTCCACATCATTCCCTGTCACCAACAAATCATCTACATAGAGTGACAGAATTACAACACTGTGATTCACCTTCTTGACATAAAGAGTGAACTCACTCAAGCTTCTTACAAAGCCAAAATCTTGCAAATATCTGTCTATCTTTCCATACCAAGCTCTTGGAGCCTGCTTCAGTCCATATAGGGCTTTCCTCAATCTGTATACCTTCTCTTCTTGCCCTTTGACACTAAAGCCTTCAGGTTGTTCAACAAAAATCTCCTCTTTGAGCTCTCCATTTAGAAATGCAGACTTGACATCTAGCTGAAATATAGGCCACCCCTTCTCTGCTGCAACAGCTAATAGTAGCCTGATTGTATCAAGTCTTGCAACAGGCGCAAAAGTTTCAGAATAATCTACTCCCCATATCTGAGCATAGCCTTTCACAACTAGTCTAGCTTTGTGTTTATTGACAGAACCATCAGGATTGAGTTTTGTTCTGAACACCCACTTAACCCCAATCACATTCTTGTCAGATGGTCTGTCAACAAGCTCCCATGTGTGGTTTTTCTGAATCATTGTCAACTCCTCCTGCATTGCTGCAATCCACTTCTGATCCTCCTTAGCTTCCACAAAATTAGCTGGTTCAAGCACTGCCACATTGCTTCTTTCATAAACTTCAGCAAGTGACCTTGTGCCTCTTATTGGCATATCATCCATGGTATCTTCTAATCCATTCACAACTTCATCAACCTGTACAGTTGTTGCAGGTTGTTGTTCTGCAGATTTCTTCTGTTCTGCATTCTTTTCTTCCATCCAATTCCACTCATCTTCCTCTAGAAAAACAACATCTCTACTTACAGTCACCTTCCCTGTCATAGGCTGAAAAATCCTATAAGCCTTTGAATGTAGACTGTATCCAATGAAGACTCCAGGCTCAGCTTTTTGATCCAGCTTGTCCCTCTTGACCTGAGGAACATGCGTATAACACAAACACCCAAAAACTTTTAAATTCTTTACATAAGGTTTAACACCATACCATGCTTCAAAAGGTGTTGACCTCTCTAAGGCCTTTGTGGGCAATCTGTTCAACAAGAACACTGCAGTACTAGCTGCCTCAGCCCAGAACTTCTTAGGTAACATCTTCTCCTGCATCATACATCTGGCCATTTCTATAATGCTTCTGTTTTTCCTCTCACTGACCCCATTCTCGTTGAGGTGAATAGGGGCGATGAACTCGCTGCATAATGCCCGCTTCCTCACAATTTAACTTAAACTTGTGAGCAAGATACTCAGAACCATTATCAGACCTGAGCATTTTGATTTTCTTCCCACTCTGATTCTCAACTAAGGCTTTGAACTTCACAAACACATCAGCAACTTCAGACTTGGTTTGCAGAAAGTAAATCCAGCTCATCCTAGTCATGTCATCTGTGAAAGTAATGAAATACCTGTTACCATTGAGAAATGACTCTGACATAGGTCCACATAAGTCTGTGTGGACTAATTGCAGCTTCTCACATGCTCTCCAGCCTCCTCCTTTAAAAGGAAATCTGGCTTGCTTGCCAAGAAGACAAGTTCTGCACTGTGGAAATTCCTTCTCCAAACTTGGCAAATCATCTGCCAAGCTATTCCTCTGCATAAACAACATGTTCTTCCAGTGAACATGTCCAAGCCTTTTATGCCATAGCTCTGCATTTTCTTCTTTGCACTTCAAAGCCATTTGTTGCATTTCATGTGGCTTGAACAGGAAGCACTTGTCCTTCATTGGCATTCTCAACACTTCCTTGCTATTTGCATTATCAATAAGGCATTCCTTTCCTTCAAACTTCACCTTATAGCCCCTCTCAACTAATTGACCAACACTCAATAGATTCTGGTCAATTTTTGGCACAAAGAGAACATCTCTAATGAGCTTCTCCTCCTGATTTCCTTCGATAGCCACTGTACCCTTCCCTTGCACTTCGATATACTGTCCATTGCCAATTCTGACTTTGGACCTGACTGACGTGTCTAGACTCCTAAACAGCTTCAAATTGCCAGTCATATGATTGGTACAGCCACTATCCACCAGCCATGCATCATTCTCAACAGGAGAACCAGAATAGGAAGCCACAAATAAGCATTCTTCCTCGGTTTCATTCACTGCTATATGTGCTTCTCCTGCTTGCTGGTGATTGTTCTCTTTGCAGATTGCTTCCATGTGACCCATCTTGTGACATCTTCTGCACTTAGCATCAGGCCTCCTCCAGCATCTAAAGGACTGATGAGTAGTTCCACCACAGTGTTGACAAGGCTTCTTGTTCTTCTTCCATTTGCCAGATCCACTAGAACTTCCTTCTTTTGCTGCAAACTTGGAGTCACCTGCATTTCCTTTTGACTGATTCCATTTTTTCCCTTTGCCTCCATCATTGAACTTCAATTTAGCTTGCAGTGCACCCTCTACAGGCTCTTCTCTTCTCATCAGTCTTCTTTGCTCCTGTGCTTGCAGGGCACTTAACAATTCACCGCAAGCTTTATGTCAGCTAAATCTCTTGTATTTTCCAGAGAAGCTATGGTGGCTTCAAACTTCTCTGGAAGAGACACCAGGATCTTTTGAACCAGCCTTTCATCTTTCAAGTCAGTCCCTAAAACTCTGATCTTTTCAACTATCCCAATCAGCCTATCAGAGTATTCCTTCACTGACTCTGAATCCTTCATCTGCTGTCTCTCAAACTCCCTTAAGAGATTCAGCACCTTCATGCTTCTTATCTTCTCATCTCCCTCGTATTCATCCTTCAAGCAATCCCATATTGCCTTTGCAGAATCGCATCTCATGATCCTTGTGAAAATAAGGGGTGAGACAGCAGCATACAGGCAAGACTTTGCCTTGGCCTTTCTTGTGGTTCTCTCTTTATGGAACTTTATCTGATTCAAGGTCGGATTGTTTGGAAGTGGAGCAATTTCATAATCATTCTCCACAGCCTCCCACAAATCATGACCCTCCAAGAATGCTGTCATCTTGACAGCCCAAACTTGATAATTTTCCCCAGCGAATACTGGAGCAGCCATTGCAGAGAATCCACTTGATCCTGCCTCCATCAACTTTGTCTTTGCAGGCTCGCTTACCCTCACTTCACAGTCCCTTAAGATCCCACAGAAGCTCTGATACCAATTGTTAATGAAGATGAAACAAACCAGCCTTCACAAGAACTTTGATTTCGCAGAGAGAGATGGAATAGAAGACTAGAAAATATTAACATAGAACAAAAACTGTCAAGAACAAGCTTAATAGGAACCTATTTTTTAACTGCACACAGACGTGCAAAAAACTGACTTAAAAAAAACAACTGACTTGTTCCACTTCCTAGAAAATAGCTAACAAAGTAACTGTCTAACAAATCAAACTTGACGGAAAAACAGAAAAGACTAAAACAACAGGAAAAACAACAGCAGCACTGGGACAGCTCCAACACTTTACTCCTTGTCACAACGAAGAAGGATTGTATGGTCCTAGATGATCCTTTCAAGAACGTGTTCCTCAAGATTCAACCGTGAGATTGTGGCTACCTCAGCCTGTGCATCAGACAGATTAATCAGTTTGTTCAAGTTGAGGTGGTGACATTTTTGTTGTTCTTTTCTTTTTCTCCCACTTAGGGTGGAAGATAGTAGCAACTTGGATTAAGGATGCTTCATGTTTTACCACTAAAGCTTCTGTAACTCTACCACATATGACTTTGTGCGTTTTGCATTCTCGCACACCAAACAAACATTTTCTTTTTCCAATTTGCAGATCGTCGAGAAACCTGGAGCAGTCTCATCTAAAATCTACAATTAACGGTTTCTCCTGCTTGGTCAAGAACTTTTTGCGCAAATAGGAAATGGAACCCTAATCCTAAGATGTCAGACATCAGAAATAATTCGCGAGACCGTGTCAAGAACTTCCATTTGGTCAGATTAGACCTTGAAAGTTCTGTTTCAAAGGTCAGATTAGAACCCTAGTCCCGAATGGGTACAAATACTCACTAATAGTCGTCGTTAATTGTAACAGCCCGAATTTCGATGTAATTCCGGGATCAATAAAATTGATATTATTTCGCATTTCATTTTAGTAAGTCTCGTCCAGAGCTGATCACTCTCGGGATACTAACCAATAGGGTATGGCTAATTAGGAAACGGTACGTGGACCAAGGACCCGATCGCGAAGCGGACACCGATCACGAGAAATGATGAGAGAATATTATGAACCAATATGGATCGATCTTAGGAAAGGTGACGGATTTGGTTTGGCCAAGGCCAACGATGTACAATCGGATCGCAGGTGATTCTGCCTGACCAAGAGTGCACGTGGCCAACCAGTTTTGAACTTAAACCGGACGATCGTGACTTCTGGGACTAGTGATAATTTCTCATTCTCTCAATGATCGGACCGTTATGACTCGGATAACCCTAGGTCGATACGCGTAACTAGTCATGGCCACGGTTCAGGAACCGGCGGTTCCGGTTCGTGGCCATGTATGAATCGGAATCGGAACCGCAAGGGGGCGGTTCCAGGCCGGTTCCGGTTCCGGCCGGTTCCGGTTCGAGGGGGAGGAGGAGAAAAGGGGAGGAGGCGCAGGGTAGCGAGGGGGAAGGAGGAAGGGTTGTCGGCGTCGGCGGCTGCGGCCATGGGCGGGGGCGACGGCGGCGATGGCGGCGAGGGTCAGATCTGGGAAGACGGGGGCTGGCGGAGGAGAAAAGGGAGGACCAGAGGAAGCGCAGGGGAGAGGTCGGAGCGTCACTGTCGGTAAGTTGGACTGGGCACTGTCATCCACCCGACGCTCCTTTGTACGCCTCCTCCCCCCAAACATCAGTCCAACCACACACCATTATACAATTCCCTCACCTTTGACTCCTCCATCCCTCTCTCTCTACTCAGCGAAGCAAAGCATCTCCCAAACCCACCACCCCTCCAAATCATCATCATCCTCCATCGTCTTCTTCCTCCTCCTCCTCCATCGAAGGCATAAAGAAAGAGCCAGCCCTCCATCATTGGCGAGGGAAGAGAGAGAGAGAGAAGACACTCCTCCCACCGCACTACCCACCACCTCTCCATTTTTCTATGCTTTTCTCCCAGACCGATCTTTGACGCAGATCTGTCTGTGGGTCTTCTCCCTTTTCTCCCCTTCTTTCATTACCTCCGCTGCTGCTGCTGCTTCTTTATCACTACTGCAGGGTTTTTTTTTTTATTTTTTTTTTTGGAACCGGGCTCGGAACCGCCGGTTTCGGGCCGGTTCCAAAATTTCTGGAACCGGAACCGGGCCCGTAGGCCACGAGCCGGTTCCAGTTCCGAACCACGGGCCCGGTCAACGGCCCAGGCCCGGGTTTGACCGGGCCGGTTCCTGGCCGAAACCGGCCCGTGGCCATGACTACGCGTAACCTCTAAACAGCCGCCCGTTAGTGAGAGACCCTAAAATTGGAAATTTAGCGAGTTTTGGTCACGAAATTGGACCCGGACTTCGGTGTCGATCTTCGAGGACTTGTACAGCTATTTTCACGATTCTGACGTCATATTATGCTGGCCACGCACGTTTGGGGATAGTACGGTCGAAAAATGGAATTTCGACCCGGAAGTCAAAAATTACGATTTTGCCTCTCAGGACCCCGACGTTGATTCTGAGGCCGTCTGAGGTTATTTTTCGCGGCCGATGTCATTTTAGGGTGGCCACGCACATTTAGATTAGTTTCGGTCAAAAATTGGAATTTTGGCTCGGAAGTGAAAAATAATATTTTTTTATTCCCAGAACTTTGCAGTCGATTTTCAAGGGCTTAAGAGGCTATTTTCGCGATTCTGACGCCATATTATGTTGGCCACACTCATTTAGGGTTGATATAGCCAAAAATTGGAATTTCGCCCCGGGACCGGAAAAATGACCATTTTGCCCCTGGGCCGTTTTCAGTTCCGAATTTTGGAAAAATTTTGGGGTAATTAAATCTGGTTTATCAGCTCAATTATTGGGGGCTAAAGACCCTTTTGCCCTCAATAATTGGATAGGATCGAATGAGGACCGTTAGATTAGGGGTATTTTCGTCAATTGCCCGGATCGACGACACTTGGCACCCCTTGGCCCACCCTATTTGACCGGTTGGACCGGCCCCCTCTCTCTCTCCTCCCTCATTCGGCCAGACCCCCACCGAGTGGCCCCTCCTCCACGTTTTCCTCCTCCTCCGCCGGTTTTCCTTGCCACCCGCCGGAGCATCGCCGGCCGCCGTGCCGCCGCCGCGCCGTCCAGCTGCTGCTCCGCCTGACCTCACCTCGTCAGCACTACCCTCCCGCCGTTCTCTCTCTCTCCCTCATCCCCGTTCTCTCTCTCTCTCTCCCTTGTTGTCCGTCCGGCCAAGGAACGCCGGAGCACCGCCGGACCGCCGTTCCGCCGCCGTCCAGCCCTCCAGCCCGTCCATACGTCGCCGTACGTCACTGTCCGTACAGTGTCCGTACGGGAGTCCATACGCCGTCCGTACGCCGCCGTCCGTACGGTGTCCGCCGGGAACGCCGCCGCCAGTTCCACTGTTCATCGGTGATCGGCCGCCGTTCCTCGTCGCCGTGGTCTAGAATTAAGTGAGTATAATTCCTAAACCCGGATTAGGACTGATAGTGCATTTTCTGGACTGGATTGAGGATTATCGGTGTACACTGGGACAAATTAGTGAGTCGAACAATGGTAATGGTGACAAGAATAATATTAGTGAATTATTGGGGTGGCGTGGATTAGTTGAGGATTAAGTGACTGGACTGCCGGGTATGCCCGGGCTGGATGACTTGTTGATTGCTGTGCCCAATTGTGGGAAATTGAATAATGCCATGTCGTGTGACTGAGTGGCCGACCAATGTGGAGTGTGATTGACCAATTAATGACATGAATTTGACTGGATGCCTGAAATTGTTGTTGCTCATGGAATATTGTACTGCATTGCATGGCCACGCATTGTGAATGCCGAGAATGAGACGTATGATGAAATTGTGTGAGAATGCATGCCTGCCATGAGCATGTGATCACCTAATATACCCTGATGCGTGTTACGCGGGGTTCAGATAATAATTGGCAGTGTGTGTATGTGTGATCACAATTCGCTCTGATGCGTGTTACGCGGGGTATGCCGTCCTCATGCACTTTGAAGCAGGACGATGCCCGGTTCATCCGGAAGACGACCATCCTGATGCGTTTTACGCAGGCTGTGGTTCGTAAGGAAATCAGTGTTGCGCCTTATGCACTTTGAAGCAGGCTAGAGACACTGGGCCAGATCGGTGTTGCGCCTCATGCACTTTGAAGCAGGCTAGACGCACCGGGCCGGAAATGGTGTTGACTCGAGTCGTAATAAATATTAATAATTGAGACAGTGTGCAGTGTGAATTGAAACGGGAGCATGGCATAACATTGACATCACATGCATAGAATGCGTGACCCGGCATGCGAGATGAACACTGTGAGCATGAGCATGTGTGTGACGCACGTGTGATCATTGTATTTGCGCACATATCTTGAGGACATTTAATGAACTGCCTAACCTGCAGGGAAATTCCTATGTTCTATCTGGACCCGAGGGCCCAGGTTATTGTTTGCGTATTATGTTATTTTGCCTGTCAGGAGATTGCATGTTAGCCTAGCCTAGGTTTAGGGGTTATACTCATTGAGATTCGTCTCACGGTTGTAATAACCCACCTTTTCAGACCCCCAGCCATAAGAATGCCGAATCCACCGCTTTTTGGAATACTTGCACAGATACATCAGTATACAAGTACCTACCCCGCAGGAAATGGGGAATCGTATGTAAAATACCGATCCGTGGTGTTTATAAACGTGGGTGAATATTTTCATCGGACTCAGGAGTATGTGGCTTGGTGCCTAAGAGATGCCGACGGAAACCTAGGGCAACCCCTTAGGACTTTTGATGCGCCAATCGATCAAAATGGATTGATGGAACCCATATATGCGGATGGCGAGGTGATCAATCCTCAGGATGTTTATGATGTAGATGACGTTGATGAGCCTATGGATGGGGAGCCACAGGTGATAGCTGAAGACCAAGACCAAGTTGTCGAGGAAGAAGACGAGCTGGAGGACATGGATCTGGATTCTGATGAAGACCACGGAGAGGTAGCTGAGGTAGGGTCAGATATGGAGATAGGAGCTGATGAAGATGACGAGTTAGGTCTTTACCTAGATCCGGAGTTAGAGCTCGATTCAGAGGATGAGAGGATCCCGGCAGAGGCTATGGACTGGGAGGAGTCAGAGTCTAGTGAGGAGGTCTCTGAGGAGTCGTCAGATGATCCCACCGAGTCCTCAGACCCGGAGTGGGAGCCGTAGAGAAAGGCTAGAGCTTGATAGGGACGATCGTTTCTTTTTACTGCAGTCCCCCTGGTAGGATTAGACGACTCACCCTAGCCACCGGTCCTTTTTGCTTGTGTGGCTGTTTGCAGGTTTTTGAGCCGGTTGTAAACAAATATTGTAAAAAGGGTTTTCTATAGCAATATAAACATTATGCATGTCCTTCCGTGCTGTATGTTGCCGTGCTGTCCATTGTCTCATATTATTATTGTCAGGATTTGTTTATTTCTTCCGCTTGTGCTTGATCTCTGTTGGGCGTTGGGTCAGCGACGCTTCCTGGGACGTCGCACACAAACAAATCGACCTTTGCGTAGGATGTTACTGCTTCGTGGGGTACGGGGCGTGACATTAATCCCTTTCAGGGGTAATTTTTTTGTCAATTCGTCAAAGAAGTTGTGTCAGCAGCAAATGTAAGCTGTGGAGTTAGCACCTCCCATCTCCGTATTTAAAGCCAAAACATCCGTTTGTCTCACTTTTAAATTTCGCATTTGGCCCTCATCTATATATTATTTTAATATAGTAATACAATTTAGCTTCAAAGAGGAAAGGTGATTTTTCCAACTTAAAATTAAAGATTCTATTTACTGGGTCTCGACTCATTCCTTTATTTTTCAGACGTGTAGAATGGACCTCCCATAGCCTTTGCGTTTCAGAGTTCCTGTATATTACGAAGGTGTTTACGATATGTAGTTCTACTATGTGGATTGACGCGGAATTTTTTGGAGTGGGTTCCCTATTGATTTGTCGCCTAGTACCGAAACCTCGATGGAGAGTTAGTTAGGCCTATTGAGGGGCTTCGACATTGACGAATGATGGTCACGCAACGAAGGGCAAAGTACATGTAGTCTTTTGGAGGATAATGTAGTATGGAGATAGGCAATCTCGGCCTGCTCAAGACTTTTATTTCTTATAAGTTGTAAATCTAATAAGTAATATAAATAAAAAAGTATAGATAGTTTGACTATACTAGTGCGATTTTCATTGTTAAGAAGTGTTCAGATTATGTTTCCACTTGCCTCAAGATTAATAAGATTAATAATTGTAAGAGACACGTATGACGCGTGACATTTCCGGGCATCCTAGATCATGTGACAATGATAGGGGAACAAAAAACATCCTTTTCTTCTACAGTTACATACTTAGGTTTCCAGTCAAACATCGGAGCGGGACACAAATATACCCAAGAACTTTGAAAATTACAGCCGGCACCACAGAGAACTTCGCTTCGAGAAATTCAAACTGTCAACAGGAAACGGGTCGTCGTGCTTAAAAAGTGGCAATTCCGTGCGGGGCAAAGGCACTTAACTTGACCGTGACTTTGTGCGATGGTCAAAGTGTCCCGCTCCATTACAGATTCTCACTGTGTGACCCATTCAAACTGCAAGAAAAATGCTTCTCATATGCCCCCTTTGAATCCGTCATGCTAGTTTCCCCTGCAGTAACTCACCTCCAAAAGAGATGATGAAACCACCCTAGCTCTAACCCACAAGAAGAGGAAATTGACAGCTCATAAAACATGCATTTCTCATGATCATCATCATCAAATCCTTTTCCTCTGAGAAAAAGAAATATGTCCTGTGCATAGACATTTGTTCAGGTGGTGATAGAGAACAAGATTTGGTTTTCGAGAGCAGAGCGAAAGGAAGAACATGGTCTTCAAATTCGCCACCTTTGATCCCGCTCAAGATCCTGATGATTTCAACCATGCTTTTCCTCAATCTCCAGCATCATCACCATCAGCACCACGTGACTATACTGACAGCTGCATCAGAGCTTTAGTCAGCCGGCTCGCTGTCGCTGGTACTTCTCGAATCTTAACATTTCAGCCGTGACACTCATATGCACTCATGCTCACATTTCTCTCATTTGTGCTTGTGCCCATCATTCCAAAGTGTCCTCTGGCCTATTTGTAGGCTCTGTAAGTCGGTTACTTTTTCTGGACTATACTTGCTGGATTCTTCTAGAAAACATCATGTCAAGGTGACAGGCAAAGTGATTTTGGAAAAGAATAGACCCTAAAAAAAGAAGAGTGTTCTAAAGGGAGGATGATCATGATGTGCTAAATAGTTCTAGAGAGTCATGTTGGTTATATTTGACTGAGCTCCTAATAATTAATGACCCAGAATTTCATCCATGACAAGCATGCGAATAAACTAACAACTTGCGAATACTATTTTCCCTGATTAGTTCATTGCTCCGCAAGGTGCCAGAACTTCAATCCCTACTGTTTTTTTTTCCCTCTTTATCATCTTCTCCTTGAATATAGCTCCCAAATTTCAGAAAATGCTGCCCTATAGGTTGGATTTCTCAGCAGCAGGGCATCCTTCAAAGATTTTCCTTGATAATCTACTTGTCGATCTTCGGAAGTTGTTATGTAGTACTTATTGGAAAGATTATGGTGTAGAACCTAGGGAAAAGATGCTGAAATTAAAGGATGGACCTTTTAAATATGGCGAACTTGCGAGGATAACGGGGAACTTTGGAACGGTTCTCGTTGAAGGAGGATCTGGAAATGTATATTTTGGCACACTGGAGGATGGCACCGAAGTTGCTGTGAAGGTCTCCTTTTGTTTTTCTATACGAGGGTCCAGGGAATTTCAAGCCAAGGTTAGATAGAACAAGGCAAATGATGCATATTTAGAAACTTGGTCCCAAACTAATGTCTGTATAAACACCGGTAATGCACACTTGTAATTTTGCAGGCCAAACACTTGAGGGCTGTTCACCATGAAAACTTGGTTTCTCTGCTTGGATATTGTGATGGCACCAAAACCAAGGGGCTAATATATGAATTTATGGATGGTGGAAATCTGCAACAAAACTTAACAGGTATTTTATCATTCTCTTTTACAATCCTTTCTCTAGAATTATCCCGAAGGTGCCTGTTTTTCACATATAACGGTGGTAGATGTGTTGATTTAACAGGCGACATTCCAAATTTCTTGACTAGGAGTAAGAGACTACAAATTGCCGTCGATGTAGCACAAGGTCTGTAAATGAAATATCCACTATTGCAGTTTTTGCTCTGGCATGGTTTGAGGAGTTTTTGCAAAGAATTGCAGGTTTGGATTATCTTCATCATGATTGCCACCCACCCATCATCCATGGAGACTTGAGTGCTGCAAACATCTGGTTGAATGAGGAAATGCAAGCTAAATTAGCTGACTTTGGTATCTCAGCTTTTGAACCCCGAGCTCTTGATTCTTATCCAACTTGTCCTCTGGGCACTCCAGGCTACTTCGACCCAGAGTAATGACTAAAACTCAATCTTGTCCAATCTCTTTATGCACAAAATCAGACATTCCCTAAGATTTCATGTGTCACTTCTCATTTATTAATATCCATCCCTTCTTCACTACTTGGATACACACGAAACTACTGGTGAAACATTTCAATGTTTATAGGTCTTATCTTTTCCACTTCTTAAGTGGTTAAAATTTGGACTTGACAAAAAAAGCTCAAAAAGGATAAATGACTCAGAGATTCAAAGAGAAGCCTTATCATGACCTAGAAATTGTCTTCTCATCCATATTCTCATATGTATATGCAGGTTTTATCCATATTCAAGGCCAGACACGAAAAGTGACGTTTATAGTTTCGGAATCATACTCTTTGAGCTAATTACAGGACATCCAGCAGTAACTAGAGGCGCAGTGCGCAACGTGTTTTTGGATGACTCCTATCGTTGAAACTAAAGAAATACAGACGATTATGGATCCAAGTTTACAGGGAAAGTTCGACATTGACTCGGCTTGGAAAGCGATAGAGATTGCAAAGTCTTGTACACGGCCAACTGGAGTAGAAAGGCCGGACATAACTCAGGTACTGGCGTTACTGAGGCAATCTTTAGCAATAGAATTGGCATCTCAGTGCTGCCACTCCGAGGTAGTTAACTAACTAGAAAATGTCAACTTTAGGTGCAAAAATATCTGCAGCAGTTTAGTGCTGAACTCAAGTGGTGGCTTATGTTTTAGAGTTCATACTTGTATTTAAATTTGGATTTCCGTAAGCTATCCTTGTCTTTGTGTTTGATCGTGTTGAGTGGGGTTCTCAATAGAACCCGAGCAATATTCCCTACTTTTCAAAGTACTTTAACTATTGTCCTTTGTGGAAGAAAATGTCTATAAGTCCTCTTTGTATGTCGTGGTTACTCCAGCTTCTTCTTCTTCTTGTTATTGCTTCATAGCAAAATCCTTCTTCTAGATCATAGCTAAAGATGAGAACCCAAAAAGCGGAAAAGGATTATTTTGAACTCAAATTTGTATTTCACATCAAAGTGACATGGTTGTTGGGCTTAATCTGACCAAACAAAGTGGGTGCGCCTGAGTTTGGAATCGGGGATCATCGATCATGTTCAGGAAAATTGTCCAAAAAATCCTAAACCTATTACAATTTCGAAATTTAGTTCTAAACCTTTTAATTTTATCAATTGAGTCCTAAAAACTTTCACGTTTTTCCAATTGAGTTCATCCAATCAATTTTTTACCGAAAATCGCTGACGTGAACAAATTTTTAAATATTTTTTGAATTTTTTTATTTTTTATTTTATTTTTTTTACACCTCTGGTCGGCAAGGGTGTTGCAGCCCTTGAAAAGCCAAACGCAAGAGAGCGGTTACCAACTAATGAAATCACGGAAATTGAACTCATCTCACGCTCTTCGTGGTCAATGGTCCACAATTGACGGAATTTATTTATGGACCGACTAGAGGTCTGGCAGGCAAAGGCATTGAATTTTAGGTACAGCTTTACACATTGCAAATGCTAATGTAACTGCTGAAGTGTGCCATTGACCATTGCGTCGTTGTCCGAGTCACGACCACAAAGGTCCGACACCCCCAACGCATTTTCTCTCTCGGACAACAACCCACGAAGTTTCCAGGAAAGTTCAAAAAGCTTAAGATAAGTCCCCAGCTTCAATATTAAAAGAGAGAACCGCATTGCACGGGAGGCCCGCACTCGTACGCAGTCGTATACAACAAAAACAAAGACATTGGAAAAATCCACCGCACGTACCGGTTTTCCCGAATTCTCTTTGTATCTTGTCCCGACAAATTTATCAATTCAGTTAATTAATGATTACTATTGTTTTAGTCTTTTAGATGCAGAAGGTAATTGTCTGTGCACTTGGCGTCGGTCACAAGACGCCATTATAATCCCAAAGCCAAAAAAACGACTGTTGCTACGTCGCGTTCTGTGACTTGTGCTGTATGCATGTTTGATGCTCTTCTGAATTTCTGATATCATAATAGTCGTAAGCCCGTCGCTATTAGCTATTAAGTAAAGAAAAAGGGTGCTTGGCGCACTCCGCTCGCTCCCTTTCCGCCAATCCGCCCGTTTTCGACGACTTCTTTTGGTCGTCGCGTGTAAAATGCGAAGCCATTGCACTGTGAACGATGCTTGAGATATGCTTCAGCTTGAAAAGTGTAGCTCTAATGGCATGGCAATACTAATTTATAGAGAACAAAAAGGGCAAAACCCACAACCTTACTCGGATGTTATTACCTCAAATCTAAATTTGTGGCGTCATCCCCTGATACTAATGTCGTCGAATAATTGCCTATACTCATCCTTGGACACAGGCCGTAAAGTACAGAAGATTGGGGGACTAGCTCTTTTTTTCTTGTACTCCGTTGTTAACACATGTAAAGACATTTCGCGCTTTGAGTCGCATGACGAATCACCAAATAAAAGGATCGAATGTCGAAAAAGTAAGCAGACAAACCGGGTGCCAAGAGATAACGATAGACATTCGATATGTTCAAAAGCGTGTGCTTATCTGGAAGGTGGATAAAGCGTACATAGCCCATTCGGCTCTTGATTACGACCTCTTTTGTTGCGGAGATAGATCAAGATTTCATACCTGGCCTGTTCATGCTTGTAGCGATTTCAAGTAAAGCTCATTTCATTGGGGGAGAAAGATGGGTCTGCTTTTCATTCTTGAGTATTCAGAGAAAGCAACTCCCTTTCGTGTTTTATTCAGTTCACGTGTATCAAAACGTTTACTTTTTTTCTCGTTTTTGGTGGCTGGATGCAATGGGAGTTAGCTTTATGCGGGTGTGACTTGTTTTCTCTTATGGACTGAGAGAAAGACGGAAAGCTGCGCACTTTACAGCTTTTCGCGACTGTCCGTCCGTCTGTCATGCATTAGCATGGAAACAAACAAGACATGTCCCTCACGCCTTACAGGAACACACACAGCCCAACAAGTTGCAATCATGAAGAGAGAAAAGGGTGTAAACATGAATTGTCATTTTCGCTGTAAGAGCAACAGTAAAAGACAGAATTCATTTGATCTTAAGGCGTGTTTTAATCTGTCTTGTCTCAATGGAAATGACCCGAGAAAAGGAAGGTTTAAGAAACAACATTCAGAAGATCGCCGGCGACCCTCTTCTCCGGTAATCTACCCGTCGGACTGGGAAAAGATTTTCAAGAATAGCAGGAATAGAAAAGTGTCCAAATCAAGAAGGTGTCCTCAAAGTCAGCTGGCTTTCCGAACTAGGAAATTGGAGAGTTTGACTTACGACCATGACAAACAAAATTTGAAAAATAAGAATAACCAATTTGGAAATGGGGAAGAGCTAGTGTCCAGTCAATTGAGCCAAATATAAGCCCCTCCCATTGTTGATAATGCTTTACCTTATCCCCAACAAACGTACTTCCATAAGTATGTTGGGATCACAGATCAAACCTACAAATCTGGGTCACTGACAGATTCGATCGGGTGAGCTTTGATCGACCCATGGAATCATATCTAATCCTAAATTTCATGCCCGAGAATGGAGATTAATCATCATCAGTCAAACCAATTGATGTAATCGTAAATTTGTAACCGCCGCGATAAAATTACCGTCCATATTTTACCGAAAATCATTACTTCGCATACTACGACACCAATACCCCAGTTTATTTTTTTTTTGTGCGTCGCCAATATCCCAAACTTGTAGCCGTGTAACAAAATTTTGGATATTAACCCTAATTAAATTTCTGATATTCATATTAATCGGTAGCCGTCTCTATTGTGTAAGAAAAGGTACTTGGCCCCCCCTCCTAATTTCGCATCCCGCCAAATTTTCCACGACTTTTATGCTGGACTCGATTCATATTGATGTTATGCGGGGGACTCCTAATAATTTGATGATAAAAGTCTTCTCAACACTGCCTCTTGGAAGCTGCCATGGCAGTTTCCTTTGCAGTCTCCTCCGTTAAACTTCTGAGTTGGTTCTTAAAACTTCTATTTAAGTGGCAGCTTCCTCGGCAGTTTCCTCTGTCAAACTTCTGAGTTGGTTCTTAAAACTTCTATATAACAGCTCTCACCCACAAGAAGGGGCGCAGCGATCTCTCACAACACACATTCATTTGTTAAGCTCGTGATAAAGCAACTCGGGTTCGGTTTCTAGAGGGAAGGGAACAGGAAGGAAAATGGTGTTCAAATTCGCCACCTTCGATCCCGCCCAAGATCCCGACGATTTCAACCCGGCTTTTCCACCGACTCCGTCGTCATCACCCTCCGTAACACTCTGTCAGCCATGCGAATACACTTGCACTTTCACCAAAACCATTGTCAGCCGACTTGTTTCTGCCGGTGCTTCTCTTGTCCTTACAGCCCCTGCTTTTGAATTTCACGATGATGAGATTCGAGACCGATTCACAGAGACGCCATTTCACGGTATCAATTTTGATGTCCGTCCAGAATTTCATCAAAGACAGCTTAAAGAGTTTACTCTGAAGGAGTTGAAGGTGACTACCCGAAATTTCAGCAACAAGAGAGTTATAGGCAGGGGCGGATTTGGTGAAGTCTATGAGGGTCGATTAGCTGATGGCTCTCTAGTGGCAATCAAAAGATGCAATGCACAAAGCAATCGAGGTATCTTAGGGTATAAAAGAGAAGTAATGATCGGTAGCATCGTACCCCCACGTCACAATCTGCTTCCCATGCTCGGATTTTGCGGAACACCAAAATGCGGGGAGCTAATTCTCGTCTACCCGTTGATGATCAATAAAAGTGCAGCATCGTGCTTAAGAGAGCGACCCGAGGAACAACCCCCGCTGGACTGGCCTACCCGCAGAAAAATAGCTGCGGGCGCTGCGAGAGGGCTGTCCCATCTGCATGATCTGAACATAGTGCACCGAGATATCAAAGCTGCAAACATTCTGTTGGATGAGGAATTTGAGCCTCACATTGGAGACTTTGGGTTGGCCAAGTTCATCCACCGTAGGCACGGTGGATACTTTGAGGATGGCATCGAGGAGGCAGCCGTGCTTCCGGGGAACAAATCCGAAGGAGGATCCCACGGTGAATATTCTGATGACACGACAGCGATATGTGGCACAAGAGGACATATTGCGCCAGAGTATATCATTACCGGGAAATGTTCAGTGACGAACGACGTCTTTGGTTTTGGGATAATGCTTCTAGAACTCTTGAGCGGACAAAGTGCTTGTGATCTTGCAAGGCTTGCAGATGACGCGGATATGGGGTTACTCGATTGGGTAAAAGGGCTTCTGGTAGAGCGTAGATGGGCAATTCTAGTCGATCCCGATCTGCAGGGTGAGTTTGAAGAGGAGATAGAGAAAGTGATCCAGCTGGCTCTTTTGTGCACACAAATAGACCCAAGAGAACGACCATCCATGGCACAAGCAGTCCGAATTCTCGAAGGCCATAGCATCGAGGGGAGATGGGAGAAGTATTATTTGAAGTATCAGCATCTCTCGTGGAACTTCGGAAGGCTTCAAGGGAATGCGGACGTCTCCTCTTCATTACTCATTCCTGAAGAATTATCCGAACCCAGATAATTAATTTCCTGACCGAAGAACCCGCCCCCTTCTACTTAGAGCAATCTCCCAAAAGATTTGAGTGATGGGAGCAGATGTTAACTTACATATCAGTCAACAAAATTTCTCCCGATCGATCTGAGACTTGAGATGTCATAATTGATGTGTAGCTAAGCTAGATATCACTAACAACAAGAGAAATGTGATCGATTATAATAAGAAGAAATTTATTACCGACAAGGACATAACCTACCTGCATAAATTGTGAGACTCCACAAATTTTGTTGTTTTTAAATATATTCTAAAATATATATTTATATCTATTCTAACTTCATAGAAACCTCACCATTGTGAGGGTGCCGTACACTACCGTTATCTTCCATGGGCAATAATATCACACCCTAATCCACGCAAGGAAAAAGGGGTGACATAGCCGTCCGTTAGGAGAAGGACGAAGCCTCAGAATAACCATACGTAATAAAAGGCCAAGAAAAGCTGGTCACAAGGTCTCAACGTACGGAATCAACAAAAAGCATGCCCCGAACCAGCTATCTCCAAAAATGATTATATCATAAACATGTGCATCTTGGCCACTAACTAATACCAAAAGAACGAGACCGAAAAAATCACCAAGTCGAAGCACTCCTCCTTAGCGTCACAAGGTAAGGTACCTAAAATATTAAAGGAAATGAGTGAGCAAATCATAGCTCAATGATTGATACTTATCTCATTATGGGATGGAACACTAATTATGCACATTTTGTAAACATCGCTTTCGCTAAAAAAAAAACAATTAACAAAGCTTATAGAGCCAAAACAATGCATTTGCAGCAATAAATCCAAACATGCGGTCACAAGATAGCATTTTAACATAAAACACAAAACTATGTCAATGGTCGAGCCCAGTGACTAATCTCTCGCCTATTGTCATGCGATGCGGCAGGGAAAATTACTAAAAAAGTTCTAAACATTTTAATTTGATCAATTTAATCCTAAAGATTTTGATAATTTGTCAATATAGGTCATCTGGCCAATTTTGGTCGAAAAAATCACAAACGTGGACACCGGTCGTCATATGTGGCACAACCAATGACCGGCACTGACGTAAACAATTTTTGAATTTTTTTAAAATCTCGCCCGCCGAGTGAGGCTCGCTTGAGGCTAGCGAGGATCGACCTTGCCTGCCTTGCCCACAGAGCGAGGCTCACCCTCGCAGGGGCGAGGTTGCCAGAGGCCGACGAGGTTGAGCCTCGTCCGAAGTTGGCGAGAGCGAGCCTCGCTCAAGGCCAACAAGGTCGACCTCGCCTGTATCGCCAACCTTGGTAAACCTCGTCCCTGCAAGGGCAAGCCTCGCTCGACGGGAGAGGTTGACCCGCCTGTGGTCAGTCGTTGGTCATCGTGGGGGCTAGCGATTGGCGGAGGAAAAAGGAAAAAAAAATAAAGGAAAAAACAAAAAAATTTATAAAAAATTCAAAAACATTTTAAAATTTTGCAAAAATTATTCACGTCAGTGCCAGTTGTTCCACGTAGGACAGCTGGCGTTTACGTTAGCGATTTCCGACCAAAATTGGCCGGATGGACTATGTTGGCAAATTGTCAAAAGGTTTAGGACTAAATTGACACAAATGCAATAGGTTTAAGATTTTTTTGGTAATTATCCCCAATGTGCCCCTCATGGCAAGGCTCACAATAAAGTTTGCCCCTTAATATAAGTCTCTACCTATTATTAGCCGGTGGCGCAACCCACCCCGAATATCCTAAAAAGTAGTATGTATACCATATACCTACTACCGGACTCAAGGTTTCACGTTGTAAAAGGGGCATGGAGTCCAACAATACCACTCTCAATCAAACGTATGAACTATCAAACTTACTTTATAATTAGAGTTCACAAGTCAAATTATATAACACTTCCACCTAGCATTTCACATTTATAATTCATTGCAGAAAGTAATCATCAAACTAAGCTCACGGTGTTGTAATTACGAAAAGCAACAAATCACAATGCAAATCCTAGTAATGAAAATGTAGTCAATTTCCGGTTCAAAATTTATAAAGCAAACGCTCCAAGCACTATCATTTTCTTTTCAAATACCATGTCATGCTATGCTTATCTTATTCCAAAACATATACTAAGTTTTCGAGACATGATATTTTAAAATCCATAGGAAATAAAAGCACCACTCGACTACAATTAAAAGCCAAATCGGAAACTAAGCCATTTGGAAAGTTTCAAAATCTTGTCAAGCATTAACCAAACGTCAAACTTGCGTCAACAAACGTCGACTAAGACTCTACTAGGAGACTCTATTTTTGGGTCAAGCGTCCACTGACGGTATGATACTTGTTTAAAAGAAAAGTGGTGTTTAGAGTATATTTGTGCATAAAACTGGATCCTGTATTACGGCCCTTTTGGTTATTTGAATTGACATAGTCAAACATCTCTTGGAATATTTTGTGGGTTATGATTCATGAAATGGTTTGAGAAATGTTGTATGAAATGTAATAGGAATTATAGGTCGCTCAATTTCTTCACGTTAAATTAAGTATTTTTGGTAATTAAGGTGGATCCACACACATGATGATTTGCATTAGCTTGAAGTCAACATTGTCCTTATAAGGACATGCTTTTATGAATGAATGGCTGAGAAGTGCAATCACAATAGGATGAATTATGAGAAAAAATTAGACCGAACATGTATCAATAATTGGAAAGTCATTTGTGTTTCTTATAACTGGATTGGAATTCCTATCCAAGGTGGGGAATTTCAGCTAAAAGATCATTACTTGGCCAAAAAAATAAGTAAGATATAACAGCACAGACCTATTTGAATATGGTTACCAGATTTGATCTAATCTGGAAATCAGCTATTCTAGCCTCTGGTCTTCTACAGTTTTGGGCCTGTTGTCCTTGAGGCCATTAGGGTCAAACAGAACAAACAATTTTTCCAGTTAAATTTGCACTGGGCTTGATCCAACCAAACAATGTCAAATGGGCGGTTTTGAATCGAGGGATCATCAGTTATCAACAATTCGAGTTTTGATCCGACATGACAAGTTTAATGCCGTACATATATAAAAGGGATAAGTGCATTAAAAGTCCTAAAACTTATCATGAAAGTGCAATTAAGTCATAAAACTCACTTTTTGAAAGTTTTAGGACTTGATATAACATTCGTGATAAATTTTAGGACTTGATTGCACTTTTTGAAAATTTTAAAACTCGATTGCACTTTCATGATAAGTTTTAGGACTTCCAGTGCACTTATCCCTATATAAAACATGCAAGTTTCTTCTCTCTCCTCACTAAAATCGAAGTTTTCTCGGACAGCTCAATTGGACATAGAGATCAGTGTGGAATGTGAAAACCATGAAGTTGCTTTTCTGTAATCATTGACTAGACCAATAGCACTGAAGTATAGTCAAAGAGAAAAACTAAAGAAAAAAAAAGGGGTATGAAAATATCTCACAACGCTTGACGAAGAGATTTAAATGGACCTTATATTCACACATGATGAGAAAAGCAACGGGCAAGAGTTAAGATCAGTCTTTTCGACATGGTTGTCAACTAATGAAATCGCATATAGACGGAAATCGGATTCATCTCAAGCTCTTCGCGTCCGATGGTCACAATTGACAGGACTGTTTTTTTTTTTTTTTTTTTGGTCGTCAATTGACAGGACTTATCTATGGACCGACCTGAGGTCTGACAGGAACAAGCATTGAATTTTAGGTAAAGACTAAATCAAAATTTAAAGGCGCCACACATTGCAAACGCTAATATAACTTGCTCAAGTGTGTAATTGACCATCGGGTTGCTGTCCTAGTCACGACCAGAGAAGTCCGACCGCCTTTGTCAGGCAACACCCACGAAGAATCCAGGAAAGCTCTAACAGCTGATGATAAGTTCCCGGGTTCAACATCAAAGAAGAGACCACATTGCACGAGAGCTCGTGCTCGTATGCAGTCGCATACAACAAAAGAAGACATTGGAAAAATCCACCCCGCGTCCAGGTTTTTCCAAATTGTGTATCTTTTATCCTGTCCCAACAAATTTATCTCTTCAATTAACATATTCATTATCTTAGGTTTAGAGGTAAAAAGTTATTGTTTGCGTGCTTGGTGTCGGTCAGAAGTAGGGGTGAGCATGATGGACCGCCTAAACCGGGACCGGACCTGACCGGACCGGCGGGTTTGGTCCGATTCTCGGGAGTATCGGTCCGGTTCCCGGTTCCTAAAAGTGGAACCGGTTTCCGGGCGGTCTGGTTCCCGGTTCTAGGGTGGGAACCGGACCGGACCGGACCGGACCGATAATTTTTTTTTTTGCTCAAAAAATATATTTATTTATTTACTTTTTTAAAATTTATGAAAAAAATAGAAATCATTTTTATCCGTTTACCTATGGCCACTCTGGGCCTCTGCGGCAAAAGTCCCCCTTTCCCATAAAATAGAAAACAGAGTCCTCTGCAGCAAACCCTAATCACCGAGGCTCTCCCCAATTCACTCTCGCCAATTCCTCACTCAGTTTACGCAACCTCGCTCAACGCCTTTCCCTCTCGTGGCCTCACGCCTCGCTCGACGCCGACGACCAGCCGAGGCCGAGCGCTCCTCTCACCCGGCGGTACTTGATCTCCGCCGCCTCCCTGCCCTCCTCGTAGCACGCGCTGGCCGCCAAGGTACAGCGGCTCAAGGAAGATGTCCAGGTTTTTCGAAATGCTCCCATGTCTCGCATCCGTTTTCTGGTCTGATTGAGTGTGGGGGAGATTGAGTTGGTTTCATTGGAACCGGTCCGGTCCACGGGCCCAGGACTAGCCGGTCCGGTCCTCGGTCCTAGAAACTGGGAATCGGTTTTCCCGGTCCGGTTCCCGGTTCTTGGGTGGGACCGGACCGGACCGGGAACCGCTCACCCCTAGTCAGAAGACGCCATTTCCGAGCCATTATAATCCCAAAGCGAAGAAAACGACTGTGGGCACACCTAGGCACGCGCCACTCGCAGGGAACTTCCTGATAAATTAATGGTAGAAGTCTTCTCTGGACTGACTTAGTGCTCACTTGACATAAACCATTCACACTGCCTCTTGGAAGCTGCCATGGCTGTTTCCATCTGTGAAACTTCTATGTTAATCTCGTTATAAAGCAACACTTGACATAAAACCATTCGCAGCGATCTCTCGCAACACACATTTTTTTGTTAATCTCGTTATAAAGCAACTCGGGGTTGGTTTCTAGAGAGAAGGGTAAAGAAAGGAAAATGGTGATCAAAATTCGCCACCTTCAATCCCGCCCAAGATCCCGATGATTTCAACCCGGCTTTTCCACCTACTCCATCATCATCACCCTCAACAACACTCTGGGCCCGTTTGGTTCGACTTTGAAGGAATGTCTTTTGGGGAATGCAAATACCTTTGAGCCAACGAAATTTTTCGAAATGCAAATAGTGTTTGGTAAGTGTATTTGAAAGCAATTTTGGCCTAAATACCGTTTGGTAAAAAATATATTTTGTAAAGGATTTTCCTAATATTTAAAAAAAAAAAAAGTTTCCGGTGGAGCTCAACCACCGGCCACCACCGCCGACCAGATCTGGTCACCGGCCAACCGCCGACGGCCAGATCTAGTTGCCGGCCACCGCCACCTGACCTCAAGCAAGGCAGCCTAAGGTCGCATGACCTCAAGCGTCGCCTGGGTCATGCAACCCAAGCGACACCTGAGGTCCGACGACCACCACTTGGGGGTTGCGTGACCCCTAGGCGGCGATCGCCTAGGGGTCGCGCGACCCCAAGCGGTGGTCGCCGACAGCCGGACCTGCTGTCTAGGGAAGATGAATAGTGTGTGATGCACAGTGCAAGTTGCATTCCGAAAATGCAACTTCCCAAGGCACCTCCAACCTTGTATTGGCCAAAAGTCCCTTGGAAAGCATTGGAAATGCAATTGCATCTCCCCAAAGTGAGTAAAAAAAGTTGCCAAACATCATTTGCATTTGGCCAAAGGACTTTAGAGCCCAAATGAGTATTCCAAATGCTGAACCAAACGGGGCCTCTGTCAACCATGCAAATACACCTACACGTTCACCAAAACCATCGTCGGCTTACTTGTTGCTGCCGGTGCTTCTCTTGTCTTGAAAGCCCCAGCTTTTGAATTTGATGGTCATGACATTCAAGACCGATCCACAGAGATGCCACTTCATAGTATCAAGTTCGATGTCGGTCCAGAATTTCACCAAAGGCAGCTTAAAGAGTTTACCCTGGTGGAGTTATATAAGGCTACCCAAAATTTTAGCCACATAAACATTATAGGCAGAGGTGGATTTGGCAAAGTCTACACGGGTCAGTTAGCTGACTGCTCTCTAGTGGCAATCAAAAGAATGAAAGAAGAACGAAGTCAAGGTGCACTCTTACAGTTCAAAACAGAAGAAATCATTGGTGGCATCATACCCTCACATCACAATCTGCTTCCTGCGCTCGGATTTTGCAGAAACTCAAAACCCACGGAGCTCTTGCTCGTCTACCCATTCCTGATCAATATAAGTCTGGAAAAATGCTTGAGAAAGCGAAACGATAATCAACCCCCGCTGGACTGGCCTACCCGCATAAAAATAGCTGTGGGAGCTGCGAGAGGGCTGTCCCATCTGCATGATCTGAAGATAGCGCACCTAGACATCAAAGCTGCAAACATTATGTTGGATGAGGAATTTGAGCCTCACATTGGAGACTTTGGGTTGGCTAAGGTCATAGATGGCTATCACGGTGGATATTGTGTGGATTGCATCGAGGGGGGACCCATACTTCCGAGGAACGAATCCAAAGCAGGATCCGACAGTGGATATTGTGATGTCACAACAGCGGTAAGTGGCACAGTAGGACATATTGCGCCAGAGTATCTTAGTACCAGGAAATGCTCGGTGAAGACGGATGTCTTTGCTTTTGGGATAATGCTTCTGGAACTCGTCACCGGACAAAGAGCTTTCGATCCTGGAAGGCTTGCCATGATGTTACTCGATTGGGTAAACGGATTTCTGGAAGAGCGTTGGTGGGATATTCCAGTCGATCCCGATCTGCAAGGTGCATATGACGAGGAGGAGATAGAGAAAGTGATCCAGCTGGCTCTTTTGTGCACACAATTTGTCCCGAGAAAACGACCATCCATGGCACAAGTAGTCCGAATTGTTGAAGGCCATAGCATCAAGGAGAGATGGGAGGAGTATCAAACATGGGAGCCGAATTGGCATTTAGTGACATACAATGACTGGATTTTGGCGGACTCCACTTCACATCTCAGAGCTGAAGAATTATCTGGACCTAGATAATATATTTGTTGAAGTAACAACCTAGCCCATTCTAAATAATGTAGGCTCCCGAAATGAGTGTTATGAGTGGTGAGAGTGGATGTTAACTTTTATCTCTTAATAAGGTATTTCAATCGATGCGAAATTTGAGATTTCATAATTAATACGTACCTGAGCTAAAAATCACCTCGTGACGAAATAAATGTCATCGCTTATAATGAGATATTATCACCAACAAGGACATAATCTACCTGCTTGAGTCACGAGACCACCAAATTTCATTGTTTTTCAGTATATTTGTTCCTACTTTATGAAAACCTCGCCATGGTGAGGATGCTTTACAATACTTATTTTCTTCCTTAGTCAACGATGTCACGGCCTAAATCCCCGTAAGGAAAAGGCGGTGACACAGTCGTCCATCAAGAAAAGGCCAAGAGTAACCGTACCTAACGAAAGCCCCAACAAAAGCTGATCACAATGTCTAGGGTACAGAATCCACGCAAGTGTATGCCCCCAACCTGCTATCTCCTCTTGACCAAAAAAAAAAAAAACCTGCTATCTCCATAAAATAAAAAAATAAAACAACTATACCGAAAACATGTACATCTTAGCCGATAACTAATACCAGGAGAAAACGGCCGAAAATCCCCATGTTGAAGCACTCCTCCTTTTGACCCAAAAAAAAAAAAAAAACCCTCCTCCTAAGCATCATCGGGTAAGGAACATGAAATGTTAAAAAAAAGGAGTGAACAAACCACGACTCAATAAATGATACTTATCTTATTATGGGATTGAACATCAATTATGCACATTTTATGAACGTCACTTTCGCTAGAAAAAAACATTTAACAAAGGTTATAGAAACAATAAATCCAAATATGTCTTGACAACATAGCATTTCCTAAGGGATGTCAATGGCCAAGTCCATTGACTAATTTCTTGCCCAATGTCAAAAAATATGGCCACGTTTATCCTCGTGGCAAGGCTCACAACCAATTTTCCCCTGGATATAAGTTACCGCCTATTATTAGCCAGTGACTCGAGCCACACAAGACATTAGTATGTATACCAAATAAACACTATCCAACTCGGCGTTCCATGTAGCAATATGGGCACAAAATCTAACAATACCACTTTCAATCAACCATATGAACCATCAAAATTACTTTATAATTAGAGTTCACAAGCCAAATCATATAACACTTTCACAAAGCATTTTAAATTTTCATTCCATCTTCAAATCCAGCAATGAAAAGGTAGTCAATGTCCAACCCGGGTTTCATAAAACAAATGCACCAAGCACTACTGCTTTCTTTTCAAATACCATGTCATGCCATGCTTATCTTATATGATAACACATACTAAGTTTTCAAGCCATGACGTTTTGAAATTCATAGGAAATAAAAGTACCACTCACCTACAACCAAAAGCCAAATCAGAAGCCACGCTGTTCGGAAAGCTTCATTGTCCTATCAAAGAGGCATCAATCGAATGTCATGCTTACGCGCCAACAAACAAACTTGACTTACACTCTACTAAGAGACTCTTTTTTTTTTGTCAAAACGTCCACCTTATTGTATGATATTTATTAAAAAGGAAAAGTGATATTTAGAGTATGTTTATCGCATAAAGCTGGATTAGGCATTTACTACCCTTTTGGTTGTTTGAAATAAAATAATAAAGCATCTCTTGTAATAGTTTTTTTTTTTGGTAAAGCATCTCTTGTAATAGTTTTTTTTTTTGGTAAGGTAAGATCTCTTGTAATAGTTTGTGTGTTGATAATTTGAGAAATGGCTAGAGAAATGTTACATGAATTGTATTTTGCTTGATGGAATGAATTATGAAAGGTTATATGTATAGGTGTGTAAACCTAATCTACGAAATGGATTCTGAATTTGTTTATGATTGGAGTGTGAGTTAGGGGTCTTATGCTCACTGGTGTTATGATCTAAGCCCATTGAGAGGTTGTGAGTACGCATATTGTTCTTAGGACGTCCTTTTTGGGTCGAGCCGCTAACTGATATAGGTGGAGTCCTATGCCAAGAGGAATCTTAGTAGGCCTTGTCACGGGGTATTAAGTGTGGTCATAATTCGATATTGAGCACTAGATTGATCAATGACTAGACCATTGATGTTGCTTTGATATTATTGCTTATTTGGATGTTCTTGATGTATATGAACTTGTGCGAAATAACGTGAAAACATCTTTGGACTTTCATTGGTTCTCAAACGGGTTCGCTTTGTTTTGAAATGTTTATAAGTGTGCATAGCAGATGTGCGATCTGCTTAGAATAAATTTGTAAGACTCACTAAATGGTGGTTTGCTCATGTCATTCATTTCAATTTTTTTTCATCTGCATCTACCGACAAGTAGGATGGGAGCAAATTTCGACGAGGGCTTTTGGAGTTTGATTTTGGTATAGTTTGAGATAGTTGTATAAATGAAGTACAGTTACCTTTGTCAAGTTTAGTTTGATAAGTCGCTGGAGATATATGGTATAGTTCGTTATTTTGAGTTTTCTGGTTAGCTGGTGAGATGTATGTGTCCATTTTGATGGACCGCTATATTCTGTAAACGAGTACTGATCGGATGAAATTGTTGGAGCAAGTTCAGTGGTATAACGAAAAGGACATCGGGAGATCAAGAAACCATTTTAGTCCGTCGCAAATATATCGTCTCCAACACGAGGGCCACCAATTTGATCTTCTTGATGCTCATCTCCTACGGGTTGCCGTGCCTGCAGGACTGAGAATACAACAGAGAATCATATGGGGCAAAATTGTTGACCTCTTGCCTCTCATCTCCTGAGAAATACTAAAGTGCAATGCAAATAATAGAGAAAAGAAATGGGAATACCATAAAAAATGGTTCATTCTGTTTATCATATATTGACGTGGAACTTGCAATGGATCTTTTCTTTTTTGTCCCTTGGACTGGTTGAGGACCTGAAAGACCATGGATTTAGCACACTGAACCGTCCAGTACCGGCATTAAATCATCGGGCTAATGACCAGGTCCGAGGATGTTTGACCTCTTTCTACCCAAGCTAAGAAGGATGATTCTCCATCTGCAGCAATTGTCCAGAGGAAGATGAGAGAAGGAAAATGCGAAGCAACCGGGAGGGGCCTCTTAGGAATTTGCTTTGTGAGGTTGGCTGCTGAATCAGCCTTTCTTGGTCCAGAAAAGCCATTGTTTGACACCATGTATAACACAGGTGCTGAAATGATAGCTCTTGGGATCTCTTTTTCCCTAATCGTTAGCTTTTTGTTGACCGGAAGTGTCACACCCCACACCCCGAAACCTACAAGGATGGGGGATGACACAACCGTTCTTCCACCCGAAAGATGCAGCCTCAAACTTCAACAAGAAATCCAACTCTCAAAGTCCCCACGACGTCGCTCTCGTTCTATTGGCTACTAACCAAGAAACCTGAAAAGATTTGGGAAAAAGAGAGGTGAGCAATCACAGCTTAATAAGTAGTGCGAATCTCTTCTAAGCAGATCGAGCAGCCACTATGCATATATACAAAGCAATACTATAGAACTTCATAAGCCAAACTCAAGATATAAAATACATATCGAATCACATAAGAGTTGTTTCATTTCAACAAGACTTTATACAATTTAGAAAATACCCATTTAAATCATCATAAACATCAATGGTCAAGTTCATTGATCAATCTCTATTAAAAACCACGTCAATGGTACATTCCATCGACCAATCTCAAGTTACACATCAACAGTCTATTCACACGTCGATGATCCATTCCATCGACTAATCTATTGTTCAATATCAAACTATGATCACGACATAAAACCTTCTGACAAGACTACCAAGATTCCTCCTTGACAAGGTCTCCACCTACAACCGGTGCCCCTCAATAGGCTCACAGCGATATTGGGCACAAAACTCACGTCCTCCAATACTAGAAATCCAAACTAGAAATCAATAACATAAACCAAACAATTAACTTTTCACAATATAGCTCATTCGCCATTTCTCAAACCATTTCTCAAATCATTTATAAACCAATTTCACAAATTGATATGTATAACATTTTGCAACATTTTTCATAAAACGTTTCTCAAATCCTCTTAAAACTCATTCCATAAACCAATTCGTAACATAATACATATATATCCATTCGCAATATTTTTCTTAAAACCATTCTCAAATGACCAAGGAGTAGTAAATGCCGATCTAGGCTTTTCTGCAATAGCAATGCTATTTTAAGTTCAATATATATTTCCAGGCGTGGGTTTTATAAAACCAAAGAAGAGATAGTATCACTCACCTGGAATCCCAAAAATCAAACAACCACGCTCACTCGAAACGACGATCTCGTAATCCTAACAATTAAATGAGAATCGACGTCTAAACCAAGTAAAATACTACAATAACTACGAAATGGCTAAACGGTGCTTAAATGCTAACAAGACAGCTCAAAGGCACCCGCAAATCGCTCATCCAAAGCAATTATCCAAACCGTCCGCAACAAGGAGTTTGAGCGCGAAACTTGGTTGCACCAAAAATCTTTCCATCAAACCCCGTTCCAAACAAACTTATAGCCATAAGAAAGTCCATTCAAAGAACTACAAAATTCTCAGCTTGGCCGACCCAAACTCGGGCCAAAAAGCAACGAAAATCGGCATGGAAAGCTGCTAGTCGTGCACCGTTTACCACGCACGCTCAACTTCAAAATTTCGTTTCGAGTAAACCGTAAGTCCAAATCGAGTTCCGTAAGATCCCACGACCTCACAATACTCTAAACTACCATATCTATATATATACGCCATTGAAAACTCAAAAATCAGATTACGCAATTTGAATTTCACCAAACTCCGAAATTTGAGCTCTAACCCGAAAAATACTTCGATTGGAAGAACGAGGGGCGCGAATACTTACCGTGCATTGTGATACGAAGTCAATTCGGCTTGGCAAGGTCCCACGGCAAAAACCCTTCTCTTTCTCTTTACCTTTCCCTTTCCCTTTCCCTTTCTTCCTCTTCTTTCTCTTTCTTTTTCCCCTTTTCTTTCCCTTTTCTCTCTTCTTCTTTTCTCTCCCGTGGGTGTCTCGGCCCACTGTCTTTAAAAGCTGAAGGCTACCACTTTTGCTTCTTATTTTTTCTTTTTCTTTTTCTTTTTCTTTTTGTGGGTCCCACCATTTTCTTTTCGACTTGGTCAAAAATCTCAAATATTACGGGAAGCAGGGCCTTTGTGCTTGGAAAAAGTGGCTATACCGTGTGCGAAAACCGCGTTGCGTGCCTAGGGCCAAATTTGAGTGGGACTAATTCTATAATTAATCCTATGCCCGTTTACTCGCCCTGTGCATTGTTTCTTTTCAAGGATAGTGAGATCAGTCCCCCAGCTTCAAGACTGCTTCTTTGATGCTTCTTGGAAGCCATTGAAGCTCAATTTCCATGAATGGACCCCAGAAATGAAAAAGACTTGTCTATATAGATCTCAACAGCAAGATGGGGTCATCAACACCCACGGAGCGGTAACACGACAATTTTCTGTCCTTGAAAGAGACAATTCTTTGTGTGTGTGAGAGTGATTAGTCTAATGACGAAAGTTAATCGTAGAATTGGGCCCAATCAAACAGGGTGCACGAGACAGATTTTCCCACTCGGTATGGCAAGTGTCCCAATCCCCCTCGCCCCTCGGCGTATTCGGAAGAGCATAGCCCACTCCTGATTTTGCTTCCCGCCAAAACCGCCAAATTTTCCATGACTAATATACTGGGCTCAATTCATATCCGTTAGAATAATTAAATATTAAATCACGCATTCATCTAACAGCTTAAGTTTTTAGAACAATCGGCAGTGGTCCCATAAAATCTCACAATATCATCCTCATCACTATTGATATTATGGGGGGTTGGGCGACTGCTAATAATTTAATGATAAAAGTGTTCTCAACACTGCCTCTTGGAAGCGGCCATGGCAGTTTCCTCTGCTAATACTTCCGAGTTGGTTCTTAAAGCTTCTATGTAAGTGGTAGCTTCCTCTGCAGTTTCCTCTGTTAAACTTCTGAGTTGGTTCTTAAAACTTTGTCTATAACAGCTCTCACCCACAAGAGGAAGGGGCACAGCCATCTCTCACAACACACATTCATTTGTTAAGCTCGCGATAGAGCAACTCGGTTTTGATCTTTAGAGAGAAGGGAAAACGGAGGATAATGGTGTTCAGATTTGCCACCTTCGATCCGGCCCAAGATCCCGATGATTTCAACCCGGCTTTTCCACCTACTCCGTCATCGTCGCCCTCAGTAACACTCTGTCAGCCGTGCGAATACACTCGCACTTTCACCAAAACCATTGTCAGGCGACTTGTTGCTGCCGGTGCTTCTCTTGTCTTAACAGCCCCAGCCCTTGAATTGCGTGATGATGAGATTCGAGACCGATACGCAGAGACGCCATTTCATAGTATCAATTTCGATGTCCGTCCAGAATTTCACCGAAGACAACTTAAAGAGTTTACTTTGAAGGAGTTGAAGGTGGCTACCCGAAATTTTAGCGACGAAAAACTTATAGGCAGAGGTGGATTTGGCGGTGTCTATGAGGGTCAGTTAGCTGATGGCTCTCTGGTGGCAATCAAAAGATACAGAACAGGCAGCGCTCAAGGTATAATAGAGTTCGAAAGAGAAGTAATGGTTGGTAGCATCATACCCCTACGGCACAATCTGCTTCCCTTGCTCGGATTTTGCAGATCCTCAGAATGCAGGGACTTATTGCTTGTGTCCCCCTTGATGGTCAATAAAAGTGTGGACTGCTGCTTGAGCAAGCGGCGCGAGACACGACCCCCGCTGGACTGGCTTACCCGCAGAAAGATAGCCGTGGGAGCTGCGAGAGGGCTGTCCCGTCTGCACGATCTGAGCATTGTGCACCTAGATATCAAACCTTCAAACATTCTGTTGGATGAGGAATTTGAGCCTCACATTGGAGACTTTGGGTTGGTCAAGCTAACCGATCGCAGGCGTGGTGAATGGTCGGTGGATGGCATCGAGGAGGCACCTGTACTTCCGAGGAATGAATCCGAAGCAGGATCCCACGGTGAAGATTCCTATTTCACGGATAGGATATGTGGCACATATGGATATATGGCGCCAGAATATGCGATGGAGGGGAAATACTCGGTGAAGACCGACGTCTTTGCATTTGGAATAACGCTTCTGGAACTCGTGACCGGACAAAGAGCTACTCGCGTAAATGGCCGGTCTGTGATGTTAGGCGATTGGGTAAAACGGCTTCTGGTAGAGGGTAGTTGGGAAATCGTAGTCGATTTCAATCTGCAGGGTGAGTATGACCACGAGGAAATAGAGAAAGTGATCAAGCTGGCTCTTTTGTGCACACATCCAGTCCCAAGAGTACGACCGCACGTGGCACAAGTAATCAAAATACTTGAAGGCCATAGCATCGAGGAGGCATGGGAGGAGTATCATCACTCGAAGGAGTATCTGATTCCGTTGATGCAACTTCCAACCCTTTACCAGACTGGGGATGTCTCCTCGTCGCTGCTCAGTCCCGAAGAATTATCCGGACCCAGATAATCTATTTTTGATGCAATGATACGAACCATGTACATGGCTCAGGCTTTTAAAAAGAATCCTCGAGTGTTTGATATGTCACAGGAGAGGTGTACTATGCTGAAGACCACCCGCCACTAGAGAAACGTCGTCGCTTATGTTATAAAATTGCTTCAGTACTGCACGTGTTCTTTGAATACGTTTCTTTTTCTTTAGTTTGTTTCAGTTAATAAAATCATGTTATCCTAGTCTTTAGGAAGTAGTTAGATATGTTGTTGGGATTTTCATTCACGATTCTCTCACTTTCAGTTTGTTTTAACTTTAAATTTAAGATTGAGAAATCAAATAGTCGTAGTTTTCCTTGTTGGCTGCATAACCGTATACTTCTTTTCTTCTTCAGCACTCCAATCCTCTGTTTTTTTCATCTTTAAAAACTCACAAATTGGTATCAGAGCACTCTTCTTGAGGGATCTGTGTGTGAGTTTGACACGGCATGGAAGCCGAAGCCAGTTTCTCATCAATTGCTCCGCCGGTGTTCGACGGAGACAACTACCAGATTTGGGCAGTACGCATGGAGACATACTTGGATGTCTTGGATCTTTGGGAAGCAGTGGAAGAAGACTATGAAATTCCTACTCTTCCAAACAATCCTACCATGGCACAGATCAAAGCACAAAAGGAGAAGAAGGCGAAGAAATCAAAGGCAAAGGCCTACTTGTTTGCTGCAGTCTCATCCACCATCTTCACTCGTATCATGTTCTGAAGTCAGCAAATGAGATATGGGATTATCTCAAGACCGAATACGAAGGAGACGAAAGGATCCGAAGGATGCAAGTGCTGAATCTGGTACATGACTTTGAGTTGCAGAAGATGAAGCAGACCGAATCCATTAAAGAGTATTCTGACAGGTTGCTTAACATTGCAAGCCGAGTCAGACTACTCTACTCTTCTCTACCAGAATCAAGAATTGTTGAAAAAATCCTTGTAACGATGCCTGAAAAATTTGATGCCATGATTACATCCTTAGAAAACACTAAGGCTATGTCAAAAATCACTCTGGCAGAACTGTTGAATGCTTTACAAGCGCATGAGCAAAGAAGAGCTATGAGGCAGGAAGGTGAAATTGAAGGAGCCTTACCTGCAAAACATCATGAAGCTGACAAAAACAAGAAGAAAAAGCAGAAAAGCCAAGAGGGAAATTCGGTCTTCCCTGCTTCGAGTAGCAACAAAAGCAGAAATGGAAATTTCAAGGGTAAATACCCTCCTTGCCATCACTATGGGAAGAAAGGTCACCCTCCATTCAAATGTTGGGGGAGACCTGACGCCAAATGTTCCAAATGCAATTAGCTCGGACACAAGGCAGTGATATGCAGGAATAAAAATCAGGTGCAGGAAGCAGATGCTCAAGTTGCAGACCAAGAAGAGGAGGATCAATTGTTTGTAGCCACTTGCTTCTCAAGCAGAGAATCAAATGTGAGTTGGCTGATAGATAGTGGTTGTACAAACCACATGACTCACGATCGAAGTCTTTTCAAAGAGTTGAAGCCCACGGCAATCACAAAGGTCAGTATAGGGAATGGTAACCATATTCCGGTGAAGGGAAAGGAAACCATTGTCATCTCAACAAATTCAGGTACGAAGTCAATTTCAGATGTTCTCTTTATACCTGATATTGACCAAAATTTGTTGAGTGTTGGTCAGCTCATTGAACAAGGATTCAAGGTGTTTTTGAAGATAAACTTTGCCTCATACAAGATGCAAATGGAAAGGAAATCGTCGAAGCAAAAATGAGATGCAAGAGCTTCTCATTTGAACCAACCAAGGAGGAGCAAGCTACTTATTCCATGGAGGAGAATGTGACTGAGACTTGGCACAAGAGACTAGGCCATTGTCACCTTTCAAGAATGTTGTTGATGAAGAAAAAGGAGTTGTCAAATGGTTTACCAGTCTTTGCAGACCATTTATTGAATTGTCATGCCTGTCAATTCGGTAAACAAAATAGAAATCCATTTCCTAAGTCAACTTGGAGAGCCTCTCACAAGTTGCAACTAATCCACACAGATGTTGCTGGTCCTCAAAGAACTCAATCACTCGCAAGTAGTCAGTACTACGTCATTTTCATAGATGATTTCAGTAGAATGTGTTGGATATTTTTCATGAAGCATAATGTAGGGTTCATCAACGAAAAACAACGCAGCGGAATATAGAACCCTAGACAGGATCCATGCGTATATTGAAATCGAAAAGGAATTTCGGTACGTACCTTTTGCAGATCAAAGATAAATCAGCAACTGATTGTGTCTGGATGAGCGCCCCAAGTGTTGCGCCTCTACCGGTATCCACACACACGAACGTAATTCTCCAACGATCCACGTGCTAGCGAAAGATCTTGAAGTTCCTTTTTCTTGAACGCCTTTCGCTTTTCGATACTCTATCGAAAAACCCTAGACAGAGAACGATTCTCTATCTATTTATACAGCCTCATTATCTAGCGGAATTAAAAGAAGTGGGCCGGGCTATTTGGGCCCGCCAAACCGTCCACCTTCAATCGTACGTTTAATCGTTATCTCATAACGCGCACGACCACATAGATAATTTAAATAGGAGAATAAATTAAAATCTACTTCTTAAGTAGATCAAGGCGCATAGACAATATTAAGTCCGTTCGCTATTGTGTGCGACCCTGTAGGTTCACTAAACATTAGCGAAGTGTGCCCAAAAACTCTTTTGGCCCACAAGTCATAAGCGGTCTCTAGCAATACATTATGACTACCTAAGTATAGTGAAGATCGGTTTTCCGACACAACCTAATCCACAACTAATATTAGAGTATCAACCTTGATTGATTCTTAGGGCGACCACTAACAATCTCCCACTTGCACTAGAACCAATCATATAAACTAAGTCTCTTTTGTCACTTGATTTCGAGTTAAGCATAAGGCGGGACAAGTGTCATTCTTATATAGCTTAAACTCATTTTCCCGATACCGCAGTTAGACTGTCAAAACAAGTAGTTGACTCTTCAACTCACTTGAGCATGGCCATGCATTTCACAGTCTCAACTCTACAGGAGGCCAGGAAATCATACCCTCGTTATATGAGAGGGACAAATCCCATCTTGTCTACTCACATCACTCAGCACGCTTCATGACATACCCAGCCATTACCTTTATAATCACCTGTTACGGCTGACGTTTGGCAACGTTAAAGCACGCCAATCCACGTCTAGGAAACCATGGTAGACTCAGGTCAAAGGACTATACTCTATAGCTGTGATGAGAAATACTGATGACATTATATAACAATCCTACAGTATTCTCATGGCGGGTCAGTCCAATACAATGTTCTCCAACATGTATTCCATGTGATCAACTTTATATCTCTATATTCATGACCCATGAAACTTGATCATCAGTTGGCTCACATGCTAGTCTCAAATGCCATTTGCGTCCCAATGCACAATGGCAAATTGACTAGGGACATTTAGAACATTAATATCCACTCTATCAATAGAATTTCACGATCAAATCACGTATTTGATTATCTATTAAGGATATTCAATATTCAGGGGATAAAGATTTCGCATTCAACTATATACTCAAATTAAATCGAAATCAAATATAATATATATTTTATTAATGAACAATGAAAATGTATATCACATTTACTCCCACTCACATCAAGACCAATCACTAATGTGTCTAAGGCCTAAAGCGTTACAATGACGCTCATGCTTAGGTTGTGGAAGAGCCTTCGTCAACGGATCGGTTGTATTCAACTCCGTTGCAACTTTGCACAACTTGACATCACCTCTTTCAATGAATTCCCGAATGAGATGATACTTCCTGAGTATGTGTTTGGTCTTCTGATGAGACCTAGGTTCTTTACCCAAAGCTATGGCCCCATTGCTGTCACAATAGAGGTCCACTGGAATCGAACTAGTGGGACTGATTCCCAGTTCTTCTATGAACTTTCGAATCCAAACAGCTTCCTTTGATGCTTCTGAAGCAGCAATATACTCAGCTTCTGTCGTAGAATCCGCAAGAGTTTCCCGCTTGGAACTTTTCCAAAGACACCGCTCCACCATTCACGCAAAAGACAAAACCCGATCGCGATCGTAGGTCGTCTTTGTCGGTTTGGAAACTAGCATCAGTGTAACCATTTACGGTGATCCGTTCCTCACCTCCATAGACTAAGAATAAATCCTTAGTTCTTCTCAAGTACTTAAGGATATTCTTGACAAAGAATCCAAAGTGAGGTTCCCCCGGATCCGATCGATATCTACTTGTCATGCTCAATGCATAAGCAACGTCGGGACGAGTGCATAACATAGCATACATGATGGATCCCACGGTGATGCATAAGGAATCCTACTCATGCGGTCTCGCTCATCTTGTGTTGAAGGACACCGAGTCTTACTAAGACTTATGCCATGTGTCATTGGGAGAAAACCTTTCTTGGAATCTTGCATATTAAACCTATTGATGACTTTGTCAACATATGTACTTTGACTCGACCAATAAGTCTCTTAGATCTATCTCTATAGATCCCGATCCCCAAGACATAGTTTGCTTCTCCCATGTCCTTCATGGAGAAAAATTTTCCTAGCGATGTCTTAACTGACTGAAGCATAGGAATGTCGTTTCCAATGAGTAGTATGTCATCCACATACAACACTAGAAACACAATTGCACTCCCACTAGACTTCTTGTATACACAAGCTTCTTCTTTGTTTCTGATGAAGCCAAACTCTTTGACAGTTTCATCGAAACGAATATTCCAGCCTCCGTGATGCCTGCTTCAATCCATAAATAGAACGTTGAAGCTTGCATATCTTCCCAGTGTTATCTGGTGATGTAAAGCCTTCAGGTTGTGTCATATACACATCCTCCTCAAGATTTCCGTTAAGGAAAGCTGTCTTTACATCCATTTGCCATATTTCATAGTCATAATATGCAGCAAACGCTAGGATAATCCGAATGGACTTAAGCATGGCCACTGGCGAAAAGGTCTCGTCATAGTCAATACCATGAGTTTGTTTGAAACCTTTAGCTACTAGCCGTGCTTTATAGATGTGAACATTTCCATCCATATCAGTTTTCTTCTTGAAAACCCACTTGCACCCTATAGGTTTGACACCTTCGGGTGGATCAATCAAAGTCCAAACTTTGTTTTGATACATTGAGTCCATTTCGGATTTCATGGCCTGAAGCCATTTATCGGAGTCTGGGCCCATCATAGCTTCTGTATAGGTCGTAGGTTCATCATTTTCTATTAACAATAGATGACGATGTTCTGTCACGTGAAAACCATATCTCATAGGCTCACGATGTGTTCTTTCAGACCTACGAACTATAGGTGCCACTGGAGTAGACTCTACAACTCTTTGTAGATCTAATTGAGATTCCTCATGAACTGGAACACCCTCTTGTGGCACAATAACTTCTTCGAGGTTTACCTTACTCCCATTGGTTCCTTTAGTAAGAAACTCTTTCTCTAAAAAGACACCATTTCGAGCAACAAACACTTTGTTCTCTGATGGATTGTAAAAGTAATATCCTTTCGTTTCTTTAGGATATCCCACAAAGAAGCATTTATCAGATTTGGGTTCAAGCTTATTAGAAAGTAAACGTTTTACATAAGCTTCGCAACCCCAAATCTTTAGAAAAGACATACTAGGAACTTTTCCTGTCCACATCTCATATGGTGTCTTCTCTACAGCTTTTGATGGACTTCTATTTAGTGTAAACGCAGCTGTCTCGAGTGCATATCCCAGGAAAGATAATGGAAGATCCGAATGACTCATCATTGATCGAACCATGTCTAACAAAGTTCGATTTCTCCTCTCGTAGACACTATTCCACTTGTGGCGTTCCGGGGGAGTGAGTGTGAAACAATTCCACACTCTTTGAGATGGTCATTGAACTCTTGGCTTAAATATTCTCCTCCTCGATCAGATCGAAGAGCCTTGATATTCTTACCAAGTTGATTTTGTACTTCATTCTGAAATTCCTTGAACTTTTCAAAGGAGTCAGATTTATGTTTCATCAAGTAAACATATCCATATCTACTGAAATCATCAGTAAATGTAATGAAGTACTGATAACCTCCTCTGGCTGTAGAACTTAGTGGTCCACACACATCAGTATGTATGAGGGCCAATAATTCTTTTGTCCTCTCACTTTGATTAGTAAAAGGAGCTTTTGTCATTTTTCCAACTAAACAAGATTCACATGTATCAAATGATTCAAAATCAAATGAATTTAATAGTCCATCGCTATGAAGCTTGTGAATTCGTTTCTCGTTTATGTGACCTAATCGACAATGCCATACGTAGGTTGGATTCAAATCATTAGATTTAAACCTTTTTGTATTTATATTATAGATTGGCACATCAAGACTTAGAACATATATCCCATCCACAATATGGGCGCTACCATAAAATAATCCATTAAGATAAAATGAACAACTATTGTTCTTTATATCAAAACAGAAACCTTCCTTGTCCAAACAAGAAACAGAAATAATATTCCTGCGTATAGCAGGTACATAGTAGCAATTATTCAGTTCTAAAAACATGCCAGAAGGTAAAGCTACATCATATGTTCCTACGGCTAATGCAGCAACTCTTGCTCCATTCCCAACACGTAGCTCCACTTCACCTTTTGTAAGTGTTCTACTTCGTTTTAGTCCCTGCACATTCATACAAATGTGAGTACCACAACCGGTATCCAATACCCATGAAGTAGAACTAGTAGTAACATTTACTTCTATAACATAAATACCTGAAT